ATCTCGCGTTTTTTCTTTCATTTTGATTAATCATATTAAAACCCACAATATTATTGGTCGGGATTATTGATAGAAACTACCGATTGAAAGAACATTTGATAACAACAAATTTTGATCTTTGAACAAACACAATAAACTTTTCTAAGTAATAATATTTTGTCATTAACACTATGAAATTTATTTTCATCTTTGACAGAGTAAAATTACAACCAATTCTATTCTTTTTTCTTTTTAACAAACGTGACATTTTTTTGGTATTTATAACATTCCGTTTATATCAGCAATAAAATTATTATCTCGCTGTGTAGATGATGAAATCTATAAATATACAATGATTGTCAAAATTATTTATCCACCTCTAATACAACATTTTAGATTTTTGGTTATTTTAAAAGTTCAAATGTTACGAAGGTTCAACGTCTACCATTTTGTACTTCATGATGTCTAGTTTATATGTAAGTATAATCAGCCTTTGATTTGATTTTATGACTGATGTTTTTTACAAAATAATAAAACGAAAAACATTTTGTAATATGTGAAAATGATTCATCTAAATTCAAAGAAAATTGTATTATTAGTTTATAATTGATATAAGGAAAAGATTTCAGTTTTTCAATTATTATTAAAAGCATAAAGTGTACATTTCAACTGAAATAATGTAATCTACGTTTCCCACTCAATGGAAGACCTTGAATCTTCTATTATGTTTTAGTGTACAAACTTTTTAAAGGGATCTTCTAATGTGATTTTCTAGGCATAAAGAATCTAATATCTTCATAAAATTTTAATTAGTTCTCTATAATTATGTTTCAAATACAAAGTAGAAATGAAAACAAAACATGAACTTTAATTAAATTTCACTTTTTCATAAGTTGATCTAAACTAAGTTCTTTCATTTCTTTATTGTTAATGACGTTTAATATATGTAACTTCTTATTCTTTTTCTTCATTATCATCATCACCATTAATTGTCGAACAAGTTACTGTTGATGAGAATATTCCATTTAATCATTCAATAGAATATGTATGTGTTTATATCCTGAAACGATATTAAATAATATGATCCTTTGTATACAAAGAAGGACATGTTGTTTTTACTTGACCGTTTATTATGAATGAATGTCTTCAAAAATGAAAAACCTTGGTTTTTTTTTCTTTTTGTGATTTTCTTTATTTCTTATTTTATTTCTTAATGAACTATAGTCCTATCAACTAAAAGTAGAACTTGAATTTTGATTATTTTTTCAAAATTTTTCTAAATGTAATTATCCACTCTTATTTAATAGATATTGTATCTATACGTGATTGGTATGTGGTTGTGTGGTACAACTTGTCTACAGTTTATACTATTGATATCGTTTCATATCCAATGAATAGAAAGGAATAAATAAAGATTGTTTAGTTTTGAGGGTGTGAGTATTAATTTGATTTTTACTTGTTCACTGTTCATTGCGAAATGGATGATGACATGACATTAGAGAGAGAATACCAGATACTACTATATTACCGTATGAAATCAGTTAACTCCTTTCCTTTGTTATAAAAGAGTCAACAAGAAGATAATTGTCCCATGATGAAAAGAAAGGTAGAGCTAAAACTTTTTTCTCATCATGGGACAGTTATCTTATTGTTGACTCTTTTATAACAAAGGAAAGGAATTAATTGATTTCATACGGCAATATAGTAGTATCTGGTGTTCTCTCTCTAATGTCATACCATCATCCATTTCGCAATGAACAGTGAACAAGTAAAAATCAAATTAATACTCACACCCTCAAAACTAAACAATCTTTATTTATTCCTTTCTATTCATTGGATATGAAACGATATCAATAGTATAAACTATAGACAAGTTGCACTACACAACCACACACCAATCATGTATAGATACAATATCTATTAAATAAGAGTGGTTAATTACATTTAGAAAAATTTTGAAAAAACAATCAAAATTCAAGTTCTACTTTTAGTTGATAGGACTATAGTTCTACATTCTTCGTTCTTTGTAGTTTCACGTTTACTTTAAGTTTTATCAAATAGCATCAAGTTTTTCTTTGACTTTTCATTGACGTCATTTGCATTTCATAGATTTTTCTTGATAACTAACATTAGTAATAGACGTTATGGACAAGCACCGCCTGATGAAACTCATTCAATTCGTCAATATTTGATGAGCTTAAAGATAATAATGATGAAGGTGAATTGGAACATTCGAAAATTATATCATTATCATTGTCTTCTTGAGATTCCAATTGAAGATATATTGATATACGTACTAATACATTCTCATATTTATCAATGGTTGAAGTAATTTCAACATTTGAACCATCATTCGAACTGTCACAATTATCAAAATTTGAATCTTCATCGTTACGAAAAAGTACCAGATATTTTTACTCCATGTTTTATATATTCAGTAAATGTATACTACTGCTGATATAAATGAGGTTTAATATTAATCGTTCTCTCCTCCAATAATTTATAGTTCTTTCTTTTTTCTCTTGTACGAAATCAAGCTGAAAACTTTTTTCTTTCTTCGAAGAACATATATATTCTCGGTTCTACAGCAATAACCTATTACTTCCTTTCCTATTCTCCAATAAACACCATCTACCAATAATTCAACGAAAAAAAAAACAAGGTAAAAAGGCTTACAAGAAGTTTGTTTTTAAAAGACCAGGATCTTCTATTATGAATTTCACATTGTTTCTTACAGCGGATCTTTTACTAGATGGAAGGAGAGAAGTTTTAAAAACTTCATAAAAAAAATAAACAAAACTTTCTTTTTCTAGAAAATACACTTCACAGATAAATCAATAGGTCTAACGAAATAAATTTTAGATGTATGATTGAAACAAAGTGTATAGTCGGACAGAGTATATTAAATTGTATCAGTTAGCACCAGAGAGAGAGAGAGAGAGAAATTTAGAAAGAAGATTTATTCGTTTATAACAATTCAATTATGTTTTGCGCATTTATACCAGAAAGAAAAAATAAGAGTTAAATAAGAAAAGCGCACCAAAATTCATCACTTCATTATTATATGGTTCTTGTATGCAACATGCTAAGCTTAACTATTCTATCTATCATTACAATGATAGTTGCTCGTTGGCCAAAGGAGAAAGAGCTGAAATCAGATTTTTAAAAATTAAACTGATCTTTTGATTGAACAATTGAAGGTAAACACTTGATTTTCCCTCGAGTTTAAATCAAAAGAAGCAGTTTAATGGAAAAACTCAGAAAAATCGAATATATCACTTTTTTTGTAATTGTTATAGTAGTGTCATTAACTCTATTACCAAAATGTATAGCAGTTGGTATGTGTTGTATTATAAATGTCTTGTGATCTGTCTGTTAACTATTCATTCATCGGTTTGTTTGGCGAATACAATTACATGCAACGAACTCAATTGAACATAATGAGCTTGTATAGTTTCGTATGTCTTTCTTTTTTTTTCTACGTTATTTATTAATTGAGAACATGCTAATAGATCAATCGATGATCGAGAAAATACTACTTTGAAGCAGAAATTTGAATGAAACTGAAAAAAATAGTAATTATTTCCTTCTGCAGAAAAAATGCCAAGTGTGCTGAAGACTAGATTCAAACAACATTTTTGAAATGTGTTGCAATGAGCACTTTGTATTGCACTTTAATCTGTCGTACATTGTGTCACAGCGTACGATAGATATGACACATTTTGTTTCAGTATGTCGAACTAATGCTCTAAATTTTTGAATCGTCTTCTTTTAACAATCAAGTTCTATTTACAGGCTTAAATTATAAGAAAATACTTAAAATCAAGGCAGGAAACATTGAAAACCAGAGATTTTTTACGTAAATGCTTTTTTTGTTTTAATTTAAAATTGATAAAAAATTTTAAAAAATCAGCTCTTTCTTCCTTGTCTTCGGCTCATACTTCTCTAATTTTTGGCACATATTCATCTATTTTATTTTTCTGGCATAAGTACGTGAATCATGATCAAACTGTTAAAAATGAATGATTCTCCTTTCTAAATTTGTTTTTCTGATACTAATCGATACACTTGAATATATTCTGTCCGATTATAGACTTTATTTCGTTACGAAAGAGATAATTTGATTATTACTGACTTTTATAAACTGAAATTTACTATAATGATACTTACAACATAGGTTTTTTTACGTTCTGCATATTTTTTTTTTAAATAAAAGCTACAGAAGAACTGACTCAGCTTTTAAAAAATTAACTTCATTTCCTCAAATTGTTGAGTCTTAGCTATGAAGTATATTTTCTAGAAAAGAAAGTTTTACTTTTTTTTTAATGAATTCTTTCACATTATTTCAGCTGAAATGTTTGTTGAGTGCTTTTAGAAATAATTGAAAAACTGAAGATCAGAGGTTGTATCCATACTTACATATAAACTAGATATCATGAAGTACGAGATAATGGACGTCGAATCTTCGTAACATTTCAACTTTTAGAATAAATGAAAAACTAAAAATAATGTATTAAAGGTCGATGAATAATTTTGACAGCTGCTATATGTACGCGTTTGATATACATTCTATTCAGTTTTCTTTTTAGAATTTAATTACAAATGGTCGTGACTCTATATTGAATTTTTTTCCATACAGTTTTCATAATTAGAATAACATTCTTGTATTCATATGAATTATCAAAAATAAGAATATTTTCAAAGATATATAAATTTTCCATTATTAGAAATGAATGTGGACAACGATATCAAATGCATCTTTATACAGTAATAATTTATCTATTATTTGAACAAAGATTTATCTAATACTTGACAAATGAAAAAGAAATATAGTTCAGAATAATCATGTTATTTTTTTATTTAAGTAATATATCGACATTGTACGTGGTTTTATCAAGTGTAGAAAAAAAAAAGCTTAATTAGTTTTTTTTTTAACTTCTTTTTATTCATTTCTTTCTGGAAAATTATTTCTCTTGTCTTTTTACAAATAATTTTTATTTATTACTGTTTTAAAAAAAAAAATGTTCTCCTATGGACGTTGTTATGAATATTATATTCGGTATATTCGTTATTTACTCAAATCTATTCGAAGACGAAAAATACATCAACTTTTGGGATTTTTATGTTTAATAATTGGACTAAGTTTTATATTTAATATACTTCCTAGTACTGATTTTTTTCAATCTTCCTTATCATCTAAATCACAACAAACAGTAATTAGTTCAAAGTCGGAAAACACTAATAATAATAATAATAATAATAATAATAATAATAATCCTCTAAGTACTATTGAGCGATCTACAATGGCACTTGAAAAATTGAAAGAATTATTAGCTAGTGTCATGTCTTCTAACGATCAACCATGGATTTGGATACCAACAGAACAATATCCATCTGTACCATATCAACCTACTTCACTTTTAAATCAACATATTCCAAAACCTTTATATAATAACACAGATTTACCTAAATCTGTTAAAAATGAAGTCAATCGTGTTTGTAAACGATTAACTCAAGCTAATGAAACCGGTGGAAAAATTTGGTGTGAATTATTTAAAAATTCTTATACAGATACACTTGCAACAACAACAACAATACTTGATGATAATACAACATTTATAATAACTGGTGATATTGATCTTATGTGGTTACGTGACAGTAGGTAAGAATAATAATAAGAAGAAAAAAAAACAGAAAGAAGGAAAGAAAGAAATTTTTTTACAAGTAATATATATATAATTTTGTAAATATTAATCTAGTGCTCAAGTTCATCAATATTTAACATTATGGAATGATTCAGAAATTCAAAAGATTATTGAAGGTCTCATTCGTCGTCAAATTCAATTTATTTTTTCTAATCCATATGGAAGTTCATTTCGTTTAACTCTTCGTCCAAATCCTCCATCCGATGATTCTCTTGAACCAATACATACTCGAAAAGGTCGTAATCTTCATGTTGCTATGCATAATTATGAATTAGATAGTTTATGTTATCATATACGTTTAAGTTATTCATGGTGGAAACAAAGTCAACGAATAAATGTATTTAATCATCAATGGTTAACTGCTATATCAATTATAATTCAAATAATGATTATTGAACAACATCATTCACAAATATCACCTTATCGTTATACAGAATTAGATAATAATCATCAAGGTTCAACAGTTAATTATACAGGAATGACTTGGAGTGCTTTTCGACCGAGTGATGATCAAACACGTTATGGATATCTTATACCAAGTAATATGATGGCTTGTGTTGTTTTAGAACAATTAATTGAAATGATTAAAAAAATATTTCCTGAAAAAATTCAACTTTTAAAACAAGTATGAATATTTAATATTAACAAGATTCATTGATGTTCAATAGAATTTTCGTTAATTTCATGTAGTAATATACTTAATAGAGTAACTTCATAATATCAAGTTTCATAGAAAGGTCTACAAATTAATAAATTTAAATCATCGTATCTGTTAGATGATTTGGATATGCGGTGTTTCAATTAAGTAAAATTGTGCAATTGCTTTTCTATAAAAAGAAAATTTGAGGATGCAATAAGATGTTATTGCTTTCTTTGACATCTCCCTATGATGACAGTTAATGTGGAAAGATTGATACGCAGTTCTAGAAAATTGTTTTATTCTATCTCTAGGACTATACTTTTGTCACATATATCTAATATCTGTCATTATTATACAAGCTGAAGACTGATAAATTAATATCATACGATTGTAGAAACCCAAAGACCACTTTTCTGTTCTTTTTTTTTTTTATTCATAATATAAAGAAAATGCTTATCAGCAGCCTTGTCTATTTTATTTTCTTTATGGTCTTTTACAATTTGATGATTAGCTTCTAATTTATTAACTAAATATCGAAAAAAAAGTAAAGTTCCTTATTTTGTTACAAAAAAATCCAGAAACATCATTGCAAGGAAAATGTAATACATGTAACAGTACAACTATTGTGAATAGAAATGGAACAATTATATATAAATGAAATTGTTGATGCAACATCAGCGTCACGATCTTGAATGTGTGAGTGTAAGTATTAATGATCTTTGCATTCACTCGTACTCACACCCAACAGATGAAGAAAGATTATTTAGTTTACCTTTAGTTTATATTGTGCTCTATGAATGATTATAAAAACTATAGTTTAAGAAATTTAGGCTGATCTGATATAAATAATATTAAGTCAGACGATTGATAGAAATAATCTTCTAATGTCCTTCTATCCGACATTTTTCATCAATGTGATAATACCAGTTAGACTAATCTTTGACATGATTTTAATTGTTCGAAACATATGTCAACACTTGTTGTTAATCTAAAGTCAGCAACAAATTCTAACAAAATTGAGTTTTAATATTATATATATATATATATATAACATTAAATCAAATCATTAATACTTTCAATATCTTAAACAAGAGTTCTGCACAATAAACTTTTTCGTATCCCGAATCTCGTTCATCCTGCCCGAGATTTTTTTGCAAATTGTCTCGTTGACTGAAAGGTGGCTGACTGCACAAACTGCAGTTGTCACCTTATTACTTTTCATTCATTTAGTTGCCATAATAAATTTTTCTTCTTCTTTTTCTTGACGCATCAGTCATGGTTCAAGTTAGCCATTCGTTCTCATCACTAACTATCATTTTGAAATGAAAAAAGTTTACTGAGATCGTGAGAATATGATAAGTATAAATCTGAAATCCGTTTTTCAAAACCTCGATTTTATTCGGGGCTGTTAAAATGCAAAAAATGACAATTAACAGCTGAATGTTTTCTTATATGGTCATATATGACTCAATCTGAAAAAGACTATTGATATTTCAGATGTTATATACAATAGTTTTCTTACATGACAATAGTCAGTTCATATTCATTATCTGTTAACTTGTCAGCTTAGCTAAGATAGCTGAATGCAACTGAAATTCATTATAATTTCCTCAACGGAAATCTATGATTTAGAAATAATAGATGTCGTATAGGATCGTCTCGTGATATTTTTTTTTGGACTCGTGCAGTCAGCTGCTTTTTCTATCAGGGCTTTGATCTAGGGACAGTCTAGTGTTTTGTCTGTTCTTTTTCTTATTATTTATTTTTTGAATATTAAGATATTTGTTAGAAATAAAAAAAAAGGCTAAGATGTACGACACGTTTTGATATAAAGACCAAAAAGTTCAGAACATTGTTTTTTTTCTATATTGTTCCAGTCACGATTGTCCCACAGGGCTCTCTATCTTACACAGATTTTACTAATAATATCATTTGATTACAATATGATAAAAGATTGAATAAACTACAAAGCTTTTTTCCCCTCTATTTTCATTATTTAGATTTCTCAATTACGTGAAGATATTCTTTCTGGTATAAATAAATATGGAACAGTTAACCATGAAAAGTATGGAAAAATTTATGCATTTGAAACTGATGGGTTTTTTCAAAATTTACTTATTGATGATGCTAATATACCATCATTACTTTCAGCATCTTATCTTGGTTTTAAAACATCCTATGATCCATTAAATCAATTAATTCAATCAACACGTCAATTTGTTTTATCAAAATATAATCCACTTTTTTTTCAAGGAAAATATGCATGGGGTATAGGAAGTCAACATACACAAAAAAATTATGTTTGGCCAATGGCTATTATTATGGAAGGATTAACAATTAGTATTGACAATAATACAATTAAAGATTTAGATTCTGTATGGCAAAGATTAGAAATAAGTCATGCTAATACATTTTCTATGCATGAAAGTTTTAATATTGATAATCCAAGAGATTTTACTCGTAGATGGTAAAATAAATCGACATAAAACGAAATAAAAAAAAAAAACTTTTCTTTATTTATTGTAGGTTTGCTTGGGTTGATTCTCTTTTTGCTGAATTAATTTTAACTCATTTAGAACAATTGGAAGATTGGTTACGTTATCGACGATCAATTTAATATAGATTAATAACCTATAAACTAGGTTTTTTTTTTTTGTAAATATAAAGTTAAATAATCACAAATCTGTTTTTTTTTTCTCATAATTGACTATGAATCACTGCAATCGAAGGAAACTTTTCGATTAAAAAAGAAAAAAGATTTGAATTTCAATGAATTATATTTTGTTTCTTTTTCATTTTTAAATTCTTGGGATACAGACAATGAAAGGCACACAAACACAAACGGTGAAACGAATAAAAGTAATTCACAAACAAAAAAAACTATTAAGAAGCTGGAGATAGAGTCTAAATTGTTCTTGTCTGTTCCATTTGAATTTCACTTTATTCACTCATAGATCCATCGTTCAGCTGTATGTACCCAATTGGAAACTTCATCTGGTCGAAACCATAAATTAATTTCACGTTTAGCTGCACTTTCCGAGTCACTACCATGAACAATATTACTAAAATTTAAAACGAAGATAAAAAAAAAATTAAATTAAATTTTTTAATATAAACATTATATCGTACCGTCCTGTAACAATGCCATAATCACCACGAAGTGTACCAGGGTCTGATTTAGCTGGATCAGTAGCACCAAGCATTTTACGACCAACTGTTATAACATTTAAACCTTCCCAAACCTAAAAGGATCGACAAAAAAAAAAATGATTCTAAAAATTAAGAAAAATATAGCAAAATACCATAGCAACGACAGGTCCACTGCCAATGTAGGCTAAAAGTGGATCATAAAATTTCTTGCCTAAAAAATACAAAATTTCTAACTAGAGAAAAATTAACAACTTATTTTTCTTTTACCTTTATGTTCTTCATAATGACTTTCAAGCAAAGCTCTGGGTGGCTATAATTAAAAACAAAACAAAAAAAGAACAACGTTTTTTCAACCTATAAAATTAAATTTTTTTAACTAACATGAATCATTTTAAGTGCAACAAGTTTGTATCCACGTTGTTCAAATCGACGAAGTACTTCACCAACAAGTCCACGTTGGACACCATCTGGTTTAACCATAATAAAAGTACGTTCGGAAGCGCCAGCCATATTATTTAATACACTAAGCTTTGATGATGATGGTTGATCGAAAATCTAAAAAATATTAAAATCAAAATTAATATAAAAACTATTTATATATGTAAATGCTTCTAGTCATATTGTTTCATTTGCATATGCGTCTTCCGCATAGAGGCAAAAGTAAAATTATAAAATAACGAAAGAGACGAGCAAGTAGTAGAAATATAAACCCCCTCTTTCTCTTAAAAGAAAGAAGAAAAAAAAAAGCCTAGAATGCAACGAAAGAAATGAGAAAGAAAAATAAAATAAAATATCTGCTCAGCTGGTTTGTTCGCTCACTAACTAAAACACACACGTGGTGACGTGTACAACATCATCGTTGTCGAGGTTAAACAAATCCAATCTCTTCTCTTTCGTTAAGTTGTTCAACAATAGATGGCAATAATTTATAGACAAACCTGATTTTCACATAATGAATCATCACCATCTTTATTTGAACAAAATTCTTGTTTATCATTGAGATGAATGTTTGTATTTAATTTTTGAGAGGAAATATATTTAATCGTTGTCAAGGAGATTAACAGTAAAATAAATCCTGACATTGCGTGTTATTTATTTTTTGCTTTACGCTTCAGTGTCTTAACAAAATATTTCAGAATGTAATGGTTGGTCTTCGATTCACCATTAGGTTAATAGAAGAAAGAAAAAAAAGAGCATAGGACGATATAAATATGCTATTTTAATAAAATAAAATTACTGACGTAGAAATGAATATAGCCAAAAAAACATTCAACTATGTATAATAAATTAGAACTTTAATTTGTAGCTAACTTTATATTTCTTGAATTTTGCCTAATTTTTGACAATTAAATTTTTTGTCAATTATGCTTAATGCTTCATAATTTTGATATATTAGCATATTCTTTAATATAACATAAATAATTTCCTGTTCGAGGGGACTTATCATACAAAATATTGCCAACATTCTATATCATTTTAACTTCGAGTGATAATATGTTTTTTTTTTTGGTTTTTTCAAGCATCAACATATGCATATATTTATTAATATTATTGACATACTTCAAATAAATTAGTAAATTAATTTTTTTTTCATTCTTAATAAAGACATTTGACAAAATCTCTTTAAATAAGATTTCTCTCAATCTGTTTTTTTTTTCTTTATATTTGTTCACTCATGGTTCTATTTGATTTATTTTTAAATTGTACATGATGAAAGTAAACAAGATTATACAACAGCAGGAATAGTAGAGATTAAAAAAGAAAGAAAGATAATAGAATTACAGATACCACTCTGCAATTTTGTTTATTAATTATCTGATCGCATACATGCTGTCGATCATTGCGACCTATTTTTCTTTTTACTTCTAAATAAGGAAAAACAATGTTAAAATCAAATATCGAATATCGTTCATATCTTTCATTTCTTTTCTTTTTTGTACCTTGATTATTTATCTACCACTAAAGAAACAAAAAAAAAACAATGAAATAGAATTTTTTATTTAAAAGTATCAAATGATTTATTGACTTACACAAGATAAGGATCCATTTCCGGTGGATATGGATAGGATTTAACTTTACGAGATTCAAGCATTTGATGAATAAAATCAATTGATATTGGTCCTTCTACTGAATGTCTCCATCGTTTAGCCAATTGCATTTGTGATCGATTAGAACAGAAATCTCTAAAAAAAAAAAAAACAAAAGCTAAATTAAGTAAAAATATTTTTTGAAAATTTTACATACGATAATTCATTGAATCGAACAACCGATGCTAGTTCATTGTTTTTATTATTATTACTCGATTCTAATTGATCTCTAAAAATAAAAAAAAAAAAAAATTTTTAATTTAGAAAAAATAAAATTTCATAACAACTAACCGTTTAGCAACTTGCTCACATGATTCGAATATATTAAAAGCTGGTGGTTGACCATGTTCTTCAATAAAAATATTTAGAAAATTTGACATTTCTTCAGAATCTTTTGAAATACTTTTAAAATAAAACAATTAATTTAAAATACTAAATAATTTAAATACTAAAAACTTTTTACCTGCATAAATAAGCATGAAAGTCATGCTTTTTATTGTTTGACTTGACCCCAGTCTTTGAATGCGAATCATGATGAAGTTTATGACTTGTCGATAAAAATCTATTCATATCAGGAAATGGCATAGCAAAACGTTTACTCCTGAAGTGTTTTTAAAATAAAATTAAAATTAAAAATTCTAAAAATAAGAACAAGAAAATTTACGGTATTTCAGACTTTATTGTATTAGGATCCATTGAAGATTTTTGTAAACTAAATAATAAATATCAAATGAGAACAAATATATTCAATATTAAACGTACTATGAGATATACGAGCAGAGACTGTCAATTTGAGTAGAACCTAGATTATTATGACTAAAAATAAATATAAAATAATAAATAAAGATTAAAACAATTAAAAGAAATTTACTTTGAAGAACTAAGTAATGGATAACTATTAATTGAATACGTGATTGTTAACATAAAAAGACATGATACGATATTGGTAAAGAAATTCATCTTAATCGTTTCTAAGAATATTAATTGAAAAAAAAAACAATTATCTAAAATAAAAGAAATGACAGTCCTTTTATAAGTAAGATTTATTTTATAATCACAGATGGAAAAAGCAAAACAACTGATAAAACTAGCAAATATACTTCCGTTCATAGGCTATTTTTATCAGTATGTTCTTTTTCAATATTTTTCATTACTCAATGTTGGTCTTTTGAAAATGTCATACGTCCAATATGTTGCGATGTCTCAATAACAGCAAACTCATGCATAATCTTAACTTGACTAATGTTTGTTAGATACGTAAGCGTAAATATCAAACAAAACAAAACAAAAAAATTGAAAAAAAAAAACAATTGTTTTTCTGTAAAGACTTCATCCACATTATTGATCAGTCTTTGACGTCAATCGATCTGAATTAATTTTGCGTAACTTATGAGAAAAAAGAAACTTATTTGTCATTAACATATGTAAGTATACCTATTAATTTCCATAAGATTGACTTTGTTTTCAATATAAACTGGTATGTTGAGTGACAAGAGTTAATGAAACGATTGTAATCCAAATACAAAGTTAAGCCATAAAAGAAGAAATTGGTTATTTAAGCAAAAGTTTCTTTAAGAAAAAACAGAAGACATAGATGAATCGGTTTTTTATCAACAGCGAGAATATTACGATACGAATCTAAATGACATCTCTAGAATACAGATACTCCTACTCCACCTACAAACGTACAAACAGCTGTTAACTTCTATGATCTGTCTATCATTACCTTATAAAATCTATAAAGTGATTTCAGTATGGTTTGTCCAATTGTTATTATTATTGTTGCTCATAGTAACTTTAATTATTAAGATGATTGATAGAAATAATATATACATCGACTAGTCGTTCTTAAGACTTCGACGTAAATATATTTAACATCTCTTATATTTCTTTTTTTTTCTCTCCCTCTCTCTCTCTCTCTCTCTCTCTCTGTCTCTTAAAACTCATCTGTGGTATCCTGTTGCGATCTGACTTAAATATTGATATATAATTAATTATAACATTGAAATCGATTGACGCATTTTTCTATATAGAATTAATATATAGATGTTTATGTACGGCAATTTAACTAGAAAATATATGCTAACCGCGTATTTTATTTCTATTGAAATAATATACATACATATTCAGTAGTTGGAATAATGCACAATAGACAGACACTTACAATTTTACTCCTACGTTTTATATTACTAATAATAACACAATATAATATGCAAGTATTCTGAGTAATTGTGTCTACAAAATTCAAGAGAAAATGAAAAAAAAATACTATCACTTTTTCATACCTACAATTACGGAAAACAAGAAAATGGCTTTTCTATCGTATGATGTTTACATGAGTTTGTATGTGTCATGACCAATTTTATTTTTATTTCAATCAAAAAAGAATTATTGTTTGAAGACAAATAATAAAGACACTTACGGCAGTAACCTAGTTCCATTATGTGCATGATTTTGTTAACTGTTTTTTTTACATCTCATGATAGCTAAAGGTAACGCATAGTTCACGGCTTCCTCTTCAGTTCTGAATAGTCATTTTCTAAAAAAACATTAACCAAACTCATAGTTGACATCTGCTAAGTGTATCGGTCACATGAGTATTTTTATAATTACTATGCTAAATGTAGTTAAACTAAATTTTCCAAGAATTATTTTGTCGAAAACTTTGCAAGAATAATGTAATTTCAAAATCATTGATTTGATAATTATACTAATAATTAAAACAAAGAAATCTACTCAACATTGAAATAATTCAATGATGATTTATAGCTTTCTTATGACATATGAAAGAAGTTTTAACTGTTCGAATTAAATTACAAATAAGAATTATCTAACTAAATCATATTACATTGACGTATAATCATTGTGTTAAAAATAAAAATTTCTTGTATGTAAATTTAAAAAAAAAAACATCGATTTTTTTTCTTCGAAATATCGAACTTACACATAGATAGACAAATATAAAACAATATTCATATCCTTACAAATACAATGAAGCAAATAGTTCATGTGTTTATCCAGCAATATGGTGAAGAAGAGAAGTGGTAGAGAGGTGTCAGAAAAATGTTGAGAACTGAAAAAGTGCATATTCAATTTTTAAAAGTGGCAGAAACTGAAAATTTTCTATTCATTTTATAATGTCTTGTTTTCAATAAATACGACGAGTATTGCTTGGAAAAAACGATAATTTTCTCACAGAAGAGGGCGCACACACTCTTACAATTTTCACCTCTCTCCCTCTCTCTCTCTCTCTCTCTCTCTCCCCTATCCATAACGCGCCACGTCGCTTTGTTAATCATTAGATACATTTTCCAGAATATAATCAATTTATGACGTAATGTTTTATTTAATATTCCAAAAAATTGATACGTTGAATAAGTTTTTCTTTTGAATATAAATTACATGCTTAAAAATGTCAATTTCTTTTCTTTGTATTATGAATAAAAAATTTATGAAGACCTTTCTTGCAGATTAATCCAATAGAAAAAAAAAGTCATTTCAAGAACATTTCATAGAAGTGTATTAATTAGTTTATTTTCATTTATCATTATAGGTAATTTCAATGAAGACAATGCATTAATCTTTGTTAATATATTTAGAATTCTGATAGAAATATTGAATAAAATTCTAACTATTATCATTATCGGATATCTGTTTTGCTAAGATTTTGATTAATCATTTGACTATTATCATTATTATATCTGTCTTGATACCATTTCGTGTAGAACCTCTTGTTCTTCTTCTAACATCTAGGGATTGACAACTTGAAAAATAAGTTGGAATAGGAATTAGAACTGTCGTTTTTGAATACAATTCTGATTTGATTTAGAAAATGAACATATGGTACAGCTTCAAGTGCTTGATTAGATTACTTCTACCTTCAGTTCATCTCTAAAATATTATCAAATTTATCACAAGATATAAAATTTTTATTTATAATAAAAATAGACAATAGTTGACTAAATGGTCGAACATATAATACACACCATGAACACAAAAAAAAATATTATTAATTGCTTTTATAGATATAAATAATTAAATACATGAATGCTGTCTGGAGTACTAGAAAAATTTTCCTTAAAGTGCGTAAAAAGTTCGTTCGGTCTAGTACTTGCATAATACTATAGAGTCAACTAGTAAATAAAGCTAGTTACTATATAGCAAAAGCGCCTCTAAAAATATTTTTTGGTAAGGTGTCAAAAATGCAAAATTACAGCAGAATTATTTTATATATGGTTAGATAGAGCTTGACGAGTTGATCAGGAATATGTGTATTTCCTGTTTTTTTTTGGACTGAGTGTTTAGAAGGAAATTCTCTGTTTTTTCCTATGACGCACTTGTCCTCTAAAAAAACGTCAATTTTCAATAACCGACAAAGTTTTTATTTGCTTAAAATTTTAAAACTGTTTGTTTTAGATTCAGCATCCAAAACTGAATCTAGAAAAGCTATTCATGAATGAATTTCCTAGATTCAGTTTTGGATGCTGAATCTAAAACAAACAATTTTGAAATTTTAAGTAAATGAAAAAAAATAAAAACTTTGTCGGTTATTGAAGATTGACGTTTTTTTTCGAGATAAAGTAGATCATAGGAGAAAACCGAGAATTGCTTCCTAATAAGCAATTCCAAAACAATAGAAACACATATGTTCATGATCAGTTCGTCAAGCTCTATCTAACCATATATAGAGAAAACGAAAAGTAGATTCTTCTTTAATTTTGTATCCTCGACATCTTATATTGATTGCCGAATAATCATAAAATAAACATTCCTAACTAATTTTTTAATAAATTATTAGATCTGACAAATATTACAATATTGCATTTTTATTATGGCTTGCAGGCACACATCATTCGCCGTCTTGTAATACTGTCAATACTCGGATAAGACACAAAACTATTCTAACTTTCGATATTTTAACTTTTATATGAAACACAAAAAAGAAACGTAATATACTTGGCTTGCTAGAAACTATTTTCTTGTTTATGTAATCAAACGAATTATTGTTACAATAGTTATTTCATAAAGAGACAATATGATAGATATAATCAAAAAGAGTAAGACAGTTTTTTGCAAAAAAAGCATTCTGTTTTAAAATTTCTCCACTGAAGGACGAAGATCAAGTTCTTGTGTCCATGTTGAACGAGGTTGAGTATGTAATTGCCAATATGTCTCAGCAATCTACAACAAATAAAAATTTCCATTCAATAAGAGAAAAAAAAACCTAAGATGCTAAATAATTCATACCGCATCACTATTAAGAAATGCTTCAATATTTCTGTCAGGTTGACCTAAACAAGTGATTAATTGTTACTTTTTTTAGACCGCAAAAAAAAGAAAACTTTTACGTTGAACTTGACTCGGTGTATTAATTTCTCCATCAATAATTATATGAGCAACATGAATACCCTGTGGACCTAATTCACGCGCCATTGATTGAGCTAATGCACGTAAAGCAAATTTTGCTGCAGCAAAACCAGCAAATTTAGCTGAACCACGAAGACTAGCTGTTGCGCCAGTAAACAATATTGTTCCTTTTCCATTTTTAACCATACTCGGAAGTACCTAACGAAAAACTTTAATCAAAAACACATTTCTTTTTTCTCATTTGCATTTACTTCCTGACTAGCAACTAAAGCACCCACAACACTTATGTTGAGTGAATTTTGAAGTTCTTCAGGTTTCAAATCCAAAATACTTTCTTTAATATAGAATAAATTATATTTGATGAGAAAAATCAAATAAAAAAAAAGTATTCAAATTACTATAAGCAAATCCACTAGCATTATATAATAATACTTCAGGATCATTTCCAAGTTTTGTTCGAATTGTATTAAAAGCGTTCTGTAATGATGATACGTTACCAGCATCAGCTGTAACACTCAAAGCTAGAACATATAAGATTTACGTTAATATCAATATATATATATGATAAAAATAAAAGTTAGACACCTGTATGACCTAGTTGTTCGAGTTCTTTTTGGACAGGTTGTAAACTACTTTCTTTTCTTGCAATAAGACCAACTGAATAACCGCCAACTGCAAATCTTTAGAAAAAAAAAGACATTGATATTAATCAGATATTATAATAAGCGATGGAAAAATCTTTGAAAAACGTCATACTCGATTAGATCACATTGTTAACTTCTAAATCAATGAAATTTTTTTCTTTTGTTAGAAAGAGTAATATCTAAACTATATATTTTGTACGAGACATATTTTTTTCAAAATGAATCTACGAAAGAGAAAATACTTCTTAAAAATAAGTTCTTGCAACTTTATCATCACGCAACATTATTTTTCTATTTTTCGTTAAATTCTTTATGTCAAAAGTGGAATGAAAAGAAAAAATATTTAATCATGACTTTAATAGCGTAAAAAGTGCTCTTTCTAATGATGTATCGAAAGTTAAATTTACTCTTGGTTTTTCTAACAAAATATAGTTCTTTTTGAAAGAGACTATATTTTGGTCATTATTACTGCTTGATCGCTTTGTAACAATGAAAAATATTTTTTGAATTGTTTTTTTTTTTCTGTTAAATATCTGTAATCTGATATATTTTGAACAAAGAACTCAGTTCATGCATGGTTTCTCGAGATTGTGATTGATGTCCTTCCAAACTAATTGTTCTTAGAAAACTCTATTTTATAAAATATTTTAATTTTCAAATTTTTTTTTTGATTAAAGAGCCAAGAATGGATCTAAAAATTTCTACCAAAGCAGACATCGATTGGGCTTTTAATATGCTATATTTTAGTAAATTTTTTTATTAGAATTTGATCTATGTAACTCAAAATAATTGAGAAATAAAAACTTTTCAAGTTACAAGAACTTCTCTAGAGGTGTTTGGTTTTTAGCTATTCTTCCTTCTTAAATTCGTTCTGGAAAAATATACCTCGTATAAAATTTGTAGTCTAGACAGTACTCTTTCTTTCCACCAAAAGAAAATTTCATTGGTTTAGAAGTTACCAATACGATGTAACAGAGTTCGACATTTTTCTCAAGGCATTTGCATCGCTTATTAAATAAGATTATACCTTTTGGCTAATGCTGCTCCTAAACCTGGACCTACACCTATAATTATAATGAATATTAATTCAAGACAAAAAGAAATATTATTTTTCAATTGTCTCTTACCAATAACTACTGCAATCGGTTTTGTTGATGCCATTTCTTTTATTATTTTACTAATATATCTAAAATCAAAGCATTACATCGCTTTTTATACGTTGAATAAAAGTGCAGTGTCATGTCATGATGACGTTTGCATAAAATGTATTATTGCATTGTTAGCAATTATAGATGTGAGAATAGTTTTTTATTTTCTTCCATTAATTTTTTTACTAGATCAATTACTAGTTGTGGTTGTTCCATTGGAAAAAAATGTTTAGTATTTTCTAATTGTGTGTCTTGTCCTTTTTGAAACCATTTTACAAGATCAGGTGCTGTTGGTGATGTATCAAATTGACCTATACTATATGGAAATGATGCTCTTACAATATGTATTGGAATATCTTGAATAAATTTTGATTTTTTAATAAATGGATAAATATTTGTATCAGTTTCTATACTTGTTCTATATATTGATGCTTCTCCATCAGGTGCACATACAAGTTTATAATTCTTATCAAGAGCATAAGTACAATAATTACGAAGAGTCTCTTTTGGCCATCGTGAAAATGGTTCACGTTTTTCTAATTTTTCGAACATATCTTCAACAGATAACCATTGATTTTTTCGGCGAAGAATATAGTCTAAATAAGACGAGTAACTTCTATCATCTTGATATAGTGAGGAAGGAAAAATAACAGGATCGAGTAAGAGTAATGCTTGAAATAATCGCCTTGGTGCTATTGCTGCAGCACAAGTTAAAGCATATCCACCCATAGAATGACCAATACCAATAAGATTATCTTTATTAAGATTGAGTGTTTCAATAAATTGTAAAACATCTTCTCCATGCCATCGAAAACGATAAGGTGGAGGATGTGTTTGTGATCGACCATGACCTCGAAAATCTAAAGCAATTACATGAAAATCATGTAAACCTTCATTAATAATAGGATCATAACATCGACCATGAAATGAAGCAGCATGACAAAAAAGTATAGTAGGTTGATGACCTTTCCATTCCCAATAGTGAAGTTTAAGTGGACCTTGAACAGTTTCACCATTAGTATCAACAATTGGACGATTAGATAAAGTGATAAAACGACTAGTAGGATCAGTTGACATCATACGTTGAAATATTCGTGAAAAACGAAATAGCATGTAATCTGAAAAAGAAAACAATAACTTTGAAAGTTATCAATAGACGACTTTTACAGTAGTGCAGAAGGACAAAAAAAATACACTCTATTTTAAAAAAAAACCACAAATTTAATTATTAAACATTGTTTCTGTCATGAAAAAATTGAATATATATTCGAAATGTGTTTATTATCAACCAAAATAATTCTCTGTTTATATGATATTTTTATTTTTGAAATCATTGTTGTCATTGGAAGAAAAGAATTGCAAAAAAACAAAATGCATCGTCATGATGACATATATATGTTACAATCAAAATTGAAATTTGATTAAAACTATGAATATATTCGGACAAAAGTCAAAATTTTTATTTTATCTGGACATAATTTGAATTAGACTAGAAGTAAATTAAAATAACTTGAAGATAAATGAAAAGATTGTTTCATTTCTTATATCAGACAAGTTACAGTTTCTATTATATATAACTTATTGACCCGAAATCTTTCAACAATTCAAGTTTAGAATATGATAAAATTTTTAGTCTTATATCATGATATTTTCGAAAGATATCCAACTAATAAAAGTCAAAAATAGTTCATTTAGCAACCGAAAATTTTCTGTAGACCTTCATTCCATTGACTTAATTGTTTATTCTTGTTTGAAAGAGCATGTAAGGATGCATGGGCAAGACAGAACCCTTTTTTTAAACTATTACCTTTTAACAGGAAAGGAAGGTTCAGTATCTCAAAAAATGGCGCTCTAATTATAAAAGTATTCTGAAATATGTGATCAAAAACGCATAAACAAAGAAAAAGATTTTTCACTTTATTTGAAGAAATTATATTTCTCAAGCAGAAAATGATGAACCTTTTTGGGAGAAAACATAATGTCAAATAAAAAATCATGTCATTTATAATAGAACATACTTCGGGCTATTTTTCCGTGCATTCATTTCAATTTGCATGTTTTTTTTTATGAAAATTGACTTCTTTTCTTTTTTGAGAGGAAAATGGCTTAATCAAATTACTTCTAATCCAATTCTGATTTCATCGAAAAAAACAGTTCAGTCAAAATTGGAATTTCTATATTGTTTAAAGTTGCGAACGTATATTATCTTTAATCATTTCTTTCACAAAATCAATCATTAACTCTGGTTGTTCCATTGGAAATAAATGTGTAGCATTTTTCATTTGAGTATCTCGTCCTTTTTTAAACCATTTTACAAGATCAGGTGCTGTTGGTGATGTATCAAATTGACCTACAATCAATGGAAATGATGATCTTACGATATGTATTGGAATATCTTGAATAAATTTTGATTGTTCAATAAATGGATAAATATTTGAATTAGTTTGTAAACTTGATTGATACATAGAATGTTCTCCTTCTGAATTACATATAAGTTTAGAATTTTCATCTAATGCATAAGTACAATAATTTCGAAGAATATCTTTTGACCATCGTGAAAATGGTTCACGTTTTTCTAATTTTTCTAACATATCGTCAACAGATAACCATTGATTTTTTCGACGAAGTATATATTCTAATGAATCATGTCTCTTATCACCAATACCATATAATAAACGAGGAATAATACCAGGATCAAATAGAAGTAAAGATCGAAATAAACGTGTTGATGCTATTGCTGCAGCATATATTAATGCATATCCACCCATGGAATGACCAATACCAATAAGATTATCTTTATTAAGTTTGAGTGTTTCAATAAATTGTAAAACATCTTCTCCATGCCATCGAACATGATAAGGTGGAGGATGTGTTTGTGATCGACCATGACCTCGAAAATCTAAAGCAATTACATGAAAACCATATAAAGCTTCATTAATAATAGGATCATAACATCGACCATGAAATGAAGCAGCATGACAAAAAAGTATTGTAGGTTGATGACCTTTCCATTCCCAATAGTGAAGTTTTAATGAACCTTGATTTATTTCACCATTCTCTTGAACAATTGGACGGTTAGATATAATAACAAAATGACTAGTAGGATTCGAAGACATCATCGATAAAAGAAAACTTGTTAATCTAAAGAAGTTCATTTAAAAAAATAAATAAGCATTAGAAAAGCAAGAATAACTTTCAATTGTTAATAATAAAGTAAAAACAAAAATGAACTATACAAGATATTAAATCAAAATCTAATCCATTACCAATCATCTAGTTTAGTCAAAGGTTTCGAATATAATTCATCAACTTCATACGTTATCAATTATTTATAACATTTATTAACCAATTCATTGAAATAAATTTGATGATACATATATATATATATATATGAAAAGATTTAAACCTGTTAAAATATCAAAATAAATAATGAAGAACAAAATCTATTTTTATATTTATTAATTTTATCCAGAAAAAAAAATCCATGTTAGATCTAATATCTTTCAAACAACAGCAAATATGGACGATCTTTGAATATAAAAAAAGTGTTCACACGAATGCATGCATGAATAATATATTGCAAATGAAATATAAATAATAACAACAAACAGAATATAAATATAACACTCATATCTTATATTTCAATCGTATAAAAAAATGAAAAATAACCATCAATAACGATATATATGCTTATAATTCTGATTGATCAATTAATTTATGTTTAACAAATAATTTTTGTATATCAGGATAAATTTGACGAATAGGTATATTTGGTGGATATGCCTTAATAACTTTACCATTTGGATCAATTAAATATTTCCAAAAATTCCAAGATGGTGGTTCAGTTTTTTCTAAAAAAAAACACAAATCTCAATTAAAACAAATTTATTATAAGATAAATTTCTTTACCACTTAAAAAGTTCCAAACATCTGGTAATGCTTCATCATCATCATCATCATCATTTAGTCGTATAACAGCACCTTTAGCAAAAATGGGAAAATTAACATCAAACATAGATTGAGCCCATGATTGAATTTGTGCATCATCCTGAATAAATAAAATTGAAAAAAAAATAAAATAAAATATTTGATAAAAAGTATATTTACTTTAGGTTCTTGATATCCAAATTGATTACTAGGAAAAGCAAGTACTTGAAAAATATCTCGACCACCGTTATTAAGTTTTTGTTGAATGCCAACAAGAGCTTCAAAATGACTATCAGTAAATGAACATTCACTAGCTACCTATTTTTGATTAAACGAGATTTATATTTAAACAAATATATATATATTCTGAAAGAAAATGAGAACTTTGTACTGATAATCAGTTGTCAAAACACAAATTATCTTTTATTATGTATCTACTTTGGTAAATATTTTACAAATATTTAGTTTAAACATTAAAAATAGTATTTCTTATTAACCAAATTCTCAGTTGTTGCCAATTGAAAATATCAGAATTTCTTGAATGATCTATATCATATGATAGATACGTAAACAAAAGATATTGATAGTTCTACTCTTCTTAATACTCAGGTTTAAGAAGCGGCGTTGTAAATGATAAAAAATAATGTCATTATGTGACTATTCTTCGTAAGCTCGTAAAACAGTAGAACTAATACACCATGTCCGACGGTCGGAATAATCGTTCTGAGTAACTAGAGATGCGCCAATCCCTATTTTGGTTTTTGACTTTGAAATGCATCTTGAAGAAATTGGAATTGAATAATTAATTTTGGTCAATATGTGCAAAATTAATAATTCTACAGTAACGAATTCCATTTCTTCAAATTGATCAATCCTTACGAATAACCACATATAGTTCTTTACAGTAACAAAGAATAGATATCTCTATTTAACTGATACGGTATATATAAAAACCAAATCAAACAAAAGTTTGATCTGTATTCCATCTTAACAAGACATATAAAACATTTTATCCATGTTTATATGAACATTTAACAAAGAAGGCATATTCACTATTAAGTAGATCGCAGTATCAAAGTAAGACATTCCAAATTTACGGACAACAGTAGCAAATAAATCTAAGCTTTATACGATATGTAGGAGATTAATAGAGTAGTATAACCGCTAAAGGTTTTCTCCTCTTGCTTAGATTTGATTGAGATGGCAACTTTTTAGTAGATTTATCCCGCAGGTGTTCAGTTTTCGAGCAAACATAAATTTGGAATTTCGACCTGAGACTTTGTACATGTAATGAATGTCACATTGTCAAGCTATGGATTTCTCAATATATCCTTATGTTATTTGTATATAAGATAATCTAACCAAGACCTTTATGTGTACAAAGTTTCAGGTCAAAATTCCAAAGTTAAGTTTTCGAAAACTAGACTTCCACAGGATGAATCTATTAAAAAGTAGTTATCTCAACAAAATCTAAGCAAGAACAGAAAACTTTTAGTGGTTATGCTACTCCAGTGATCTTCTACATATCGACAATATATGAAGACAAACGGAGTAGATTATTTGGGAATGTTTCCTTGTAAGTTCGATACCGAGATTAGGGAGTAGAATGGGAAAAACTTTCCCCTCCTAAAATGTCAGATTTTTTACAGCTTCGTAATAACTTTGGACAATCACTGAATTTTGAAATACTATTTGCTTTTCTCTAACAGAAAGTGGAATAAAAATAAGTAGACAATGTCGTTAAGAATTGAATAGGATTGAGAGGGATCGATCCATGGTCAGTTTGGTTCTTCTCTGTCAGTCACTATTTCTAACATTGCGATAATTTTTAAATTTTCAGTTCTTTCCAAAATATCGACAACCCTCGCCAGGATTGAATCTCTCATTGATCATGTCTCTTCTCTATTCTTCTAATAATAAATATCGTTTTGAAGTTTTTATTAAACATAATTTGTGAATAGTAAAGTACACAAAAATAGAACTTACATTAACAACCAATGAAACCTAAAATAAAATAAACATTTATTAGTTTTTTATTTTTTATTTTTGGCATAAAACATCAAAATTGATTTACCTTTCCACGATACTGTTCTAATGAAACATCATTTCCTTGCCAATCTTTGACTGTAAATGAATAAAAATCTTCACAAATAACATTTGTAATAATAATAAAAAAAATCCAAATAGAAAACATCTGAAAAAATAAAGATTTTATCTGACAGAATACAGAAAAAAAAAATGAAAGATAAACAGAATTAAATTTCTCGTTTATCGATTTTCAAAAAAAATTTTTTAATGATTTTCCTAATGTTTTATTATATTCTTCAAGACGTTGTTTTGTTGTTTTTAATAAATTTTCTATTTTTTCATCATTTGGTTGAATGTTATTTGCTAATTGAAGATCTTTTAATGCTAATTCATAATCATTTAAATTAGCATAAGCATAACCACGACGATATAATGCTTTAACATATTTTGGATTTATTTCAAGTGCTGATGAACAATTTTCAATAACATTTAAATTATTTCCATAAATTAATTGACATGCCGATATATTTGAATAAATTGATAAAATAAGTTGATTAAAATTTTCTAAAATTTGATTATGTTCATCTGTTGGTTGTTCATTAATAAAATTTAATATATAACATAATGAACGATGATAAAGTTTAAAAGCTTGAAAATAATTTTTTTCATGAAAAAATTTATTTGCATTTTCTTTATGTTTTAAAGCAAAATTATAAAGATTATCAATTGACATTGAATAAATTTCTGGACAACGTTCAAATGAAATTAAATGAATAAAAATTGTAATTGTTTGATTTTCATTTCTAAAATTAAATTTACAAAACAAAAAAAAAGAAATTTATTTTAAAGAAACTAAAAGTAAATATTTTGTTATTTTCTTTTTTACAAATTAGAAGAATAATTAAAATTTAATTGAGATAATTCATTTTGTTTCATTGTTATTAAACATTTGTGTACATAATTACTTATTATTGTTGAATAAAATCCAAGATTAATATTAATTTCTTCATTTAGAGGAAGAAGATCATTATATAGATTTTCATTAAGTGCATAATCAGTTGGTGAAAATTTAATAATTACTTTACAATTTGATCCTAGATCAATTCATAGAATTTTAATTTAAAAACAAAAAGAAACAAAAACGATTTAGTTATATACCTTCATTAGGTGCATAAAGACCTTGACCAGGTTCAATAATTGTTTTAGTAAATGTTATATCGTCTGGAAGATTATAGACAGTCATTTATGAAACAGATGATTTTTAAATAATATCTATAGAAAGAAAATAAAGTAATAGGAAAAATCAAACAGAAGTCCTGTTCATAAATCATAGAATGTTCATGATGTACAGAAATAGAATATTTATTTATTAGTTTTTAATAACTACGTATCGGATGGTCAATATTAAAAGAACAAGATGTCACTGATTATCAACAAATTTACGCGCTTTATTCTTTACATAGATTTTGTTATCATTTGTTGTTTATTCATATTATTATAGTTACAAATTTGAATCTAAAAAGAAAAAAGAATTCCTTTTTGTATATCATAGATATATCGACATTTTTTTCATCTTTCAAAGTATGATATTGATAGGAACACTCAATAACTACACTCAAATATTATCTTTATCTGTTGTTTCTTTTATGTTATAACGCAATCGTTGCAGATAACGATACAAGAATTCGAAATAAAAATTTACACGAACAATGATTCGTTAAAATTTATCTTCACCTTATATTCAAATCATAAGAGTTCGTATAGTCTAAAGTCATTCATTTAAGACAAAAACTATTATAATAAAAGAGTCATTAAACATGAAAGATTACAACGATGAAAGTAAATACCAAATCATGCTCGAGACGTGTTTTAATTAGAAGAGATTTAGTCATGCAGTAATTCTTGAAATAAAAGAGAACTGTTGAAATAGAATAGACATGATTATTAGGAAGCTCCCCGACTGTGACTATATACATCTCTAATAAATTCATCTCTCCACATTGTTTTTCCTTGTATTTATCTTTAACTAATTACAGTTACCATTCAATTATCGACTTAATTGGTCTATCAATATATAGTTGATGCACGTGTGAGTAGGAGTATATAGAAGATTTACCAACCTACTCGCTGCTGTATCCATATCCTCCAATGCTGAAACTTCATCTTATAGAAGATGTAGATGATAATCTTTTTGCTTTAGAACGTACTATCATGTATGAAGAATGTGTGAAAATAAAATATATTGTTAATTAATTATTATTTTTTGAAATGTTTACTATTGCTTGTATTTGTTTCAATGAAGTAAAGTGTATTATTTATTTTTTGATTCATTATTGTCGAAAATGAGTTTCTTTTGATTTGTCCTTTTACAAGTTAAAAGTGTACTATATGATTGATTTTCATGATATTTGTTATAAAGAAATATCACCATTTATTGAATAAAACAATTAATGAGTTATTTTTGGAATTCTGATATGAGAACAAGTATTTCAATTAACTTATATTTAAATCTGACTTTGAGTAAGCACTATAAAAAGATAGAATCATATGTTAGAGAAAACAATGATGAATTTCGCTATTCATTGACTTGAATGATACTTTAAAGTTTAAAAGCATTTCAGCAAATGTTAAATAGGTCCATTAGTTAAAACTAATTTTTTATTTCATCAAAGAATAATTCAATGATCAAATAAAGTATAAGTCTTGTTAATAGATCAAATGTAAATGTAATTATTTTGTCTGTAAAATTTAAAAAAAAATATTCATTTATTATTATAATGATATTTATAAGTAATGATGTGATACATGTCTAGTGTACGGATAAAGTATGAAATTTAAATCTTAATATTTTTCAAATACTTTTGTTGATTTTAAATTTTATTATACTGAATATAAAATGTGTTTCTAGAGAATGATTACATATATAAAGAGATTTTTGAATGTTACAAAGATTTAAAGAACTAAGCCAGAGTTCCAAATCTTGTTCGGAAATTCACATTTCTTTTTCGGAAGCGGCTCGTTAATATCTGAATTCGCATCTTCGTACAACATATTCATGTTCGATAGCATTTATATAAATACAATCTAAATTGTTCTATACGATAGAAGATTTTGGTATTAGTGCTGATCTGATAATTTACAATGATGATTCTTGTTTATCAACTAATTGTTAAATTTTCTTTTTTAATAATATAAGTATTACTCTTTTCAACTGAGAAAAACCATTAAATGTATTGAAAAAAATACACAGAAAGTGTGAGAAACTAGTGAAAAACAACTCAAATCTGCAACGAATCAATTGGATCCAGATCTTGATTTCTCAGGCTTAGGTTCAGTCTAGAAAGTTATTTTTCATCAGGTTTCGGATCCTGATCCAAGCTCAAAAAGCATAGATCTACAACGTTTCTAAAAATATATATTGAAATATTTTACATAGAACATTTTTTTTCTTATCGACCACTTGATAATCGAGTAGTTTTATATCACTTTTATTACCTGTCTTTTTTTGACAGCAAAAGAAAAATAGATATAATGAATAGTAATTATTGGATAGCGTACGTCAGAGAGCGCCTACGTTGTCTTGTTCTTTTTTTTTCCTCCTCCGAGTGATGCCATGTATATATATAGAGAGAGAACATCAGTATTTCGTATGATCACAATCTAACTTAGTATAAATCATTTAATTGCATAATATGGGTCACAACTATGCTCATCCAATTCCTTGTTATCACGGATATGCTTCTTTACCACCATCGCAACGACCATGTTGTCGATCTCAACCTTTAATCTTAGTTCATACTCGAACAATTCCATTAAAATTTGAACTTCGTCATTTTATTCGACGGCATCAACGTCATTGATTGTTATGTTATTTTTATTTTTTTGTCCTAAAGGTGATATTAAACATTTATTTTCCTTTTTTTTTCATAAAAATTAGTGCTATAAGCACTGTATTTTCTTTTATCTAGTGTGTAAATTAAGATTTCGATTAAATTTGAGAGTATCAAATATTTTTCTTTTTTAAAAAAGATTTCATTATTTTTTGAAATTTGTTTTATCGTCAGTATTTTATGTTTCTATATATTTCAAATATTCTTAGAATAAAATCAATGTCAAATGAATTATTATTCTAACTTTTAATGTAACATTGCAATGCATGTTTTATTTTTTTATTTTCTCTATTTAATAATAATAGATAAAATAATTTTCATCATTACACATTGTTAAGGAGTATATGATTTGACTCTTTGAGATACTCTTCTTTGATAATTGACAGCAGACGTTTTTATAATCATGATCAAAAGTTTCTAGGATCGATATATATATATATGTACAACTATGGAAATAATCGAGTCATAAAAGTGAGCAAGAGACTATTTCTATTAGTTTTTCGGTGATTATAAATTCTAGTCAGTGACAATAACGTTGTAGTCATAATGAATGTATGACTTCAACTTAGTTTTGAATAATTTGTTCTAATCGAAAACTTTGATAATTAAAATATTGCTTCTGGATTTACAAATTATTAATAACTAACTAAATTTAAAATGTTCTATGAAGTAAAATGTTTTTCTCATTATATAGACAAATGAGTCTTTGATAGAGTAATCCTCATATTTGAGCTTTTCATATGTAATATTGATCAAAATAAATGATAAACTGTGTATAAATTGTTCAGTACTATGAAATAATATGTTATCAAATTGAAGACTTTCTGTAAGAATCTCTATCCCACTTTTTTCGAAAAGAACAGCACATTAATTAGGTTTTTTTCTGACTATCGGAAGCTAGGATCATAAAGTTATTTAACTCTCTCGCAGCGATGTGGCCCACCGGTGGATCACACTATATTTTAAAGCCAATGGGTGACCCAAAATAAATGGTTACACTTTGCATTTCATATTTTAACCTCTAAACACGTTTTATTAAAAACCAGCACATATCATAAGATGCAACATGAAAAGCTCTACAATCTTCATAGTCAAGCTTATTTTAATTGTGTATTTTTTGTTTTCAAACCTATGACGCTTATATTGAACTTCTAGATTTTTTAATATATAGTTTTTAAATATAATAATCTGTTCACCATGAGCTTGTATCCAAGCTTAACTGTCATGTCATTGTTAATCGATGTCTTTTGTATTTTTTTTCTTTCTATAAGATTGAATTGATGAATATCTTCCTGGTTGTAAGTAGAGAACGCTCATATTCTACAAATGAAAAAAGATTATATCTCATATTGTTCTTGATCTAACGTTTTCTGTCAATGTAACAAAGCTGATCTTCTTTTATTAAAATATCATCTATTATATTTATCACAATGAAAAGATATTTTTAGTACATGTCAATGAATGAAATAGTGATTAATGAAGGAAAATACAAAAAAAAAAATATTTCTTATCAGTTTTTCTATTCTTCTTGTCATAATGTTTTATCTCGAATGTTTTGTACATGTAACTGAAATGATTTCTGTTTCTATCAAGCGAACAATCAGCATTGTTTACACCCGATTGACATTCTTTCACGTTTCAATAATGTAATTATAAATTGTATGAAAAATATTGGAACAATGAATATTCGATGTAGAAATATGCTAATTTCTAGAACATAATGTCAAATATGACATTTTCTTCCTTATGAAGTTTGTAATTCCCTGTGAATTGTTTGTATCAACCACAATTACTCTATGCGAAGAAGTTGTGGTCGATTCAAATTGTGTATTTAAACGAAATGCGCGTATTTTTTTTACTGCAGTAAATACTGCATTCGGGTCGAAATATATGAACTATAAAGCAAACGTTTTGAAATTGGTAAAAAATGCGCATTTTTTTAATTTTTTTTTCGACAAATTCCAACTGATTTTGATATCTATGTTTTGTATTAGACAAAAATCTAAAGAGCGTTCAGAATGGAATAAAATAAAAACTAAAAAAAAAGCGGATTTTTGACCAATTCTGAAACCTTTGTTTTCTATGCCATGTGTTTCAACTACAAAGTCAGATAGAGCAATCATAGTTGATATAAACAATCCACAGTAATTACATTCTTAATAAGGAGAAAAAAATGTATTATTTGACATCGTGTTCTAGGGATTGGTGCATTCCTAATTTGATGGACTTTAAGCTTTTAATAAAAACATTCGTGTAATGATGTCAATCTATTATGAGTTCATGCTACCCTAAAGCTATTTCATCTCATGCCTTGTAATCGCTTTATTTTTGGCATAAAGAAGTTTTAAAACTGGTATAATTAATATAGAATCATGTCAGTATCTCAGTTTCATATGACGACATTTCAAACGTATCATCGATTTACCAATTGTTCGATTGAAATGTTTCGATAAAACACGACGTAAAAGGAGTGTTAAAGTATATAGGATAGAATTTTGAACTCACTCTTCCTCTATAGACTGTGACTCTTTTGCTAATCAAAAATAGATTGAGTAGTAAAAAATTCTTCTACAATTTTGTTTTTATTCATCATTTTTAAAAATTTGTCAACATAAAAAAAAAAGAAAGAAAATTTCAGTTTCTAAAAATTGTGTTCAACACTCCAAAAGTTTATTTAATATATTCATATAACAAACATGATATACACAACATGTATAAAGTATTTTCGGAATACAAAATAATGAATATTTCAATCAAGACATATCCGATGATTGTGCAAGAAAACTATCTACGGCTGCTCCACTATCAAGTTTCGTAATACGTGATCCATCAATTTTTGTTGTACACATTGGACATACATCATCTATACTCAGATATCTAAAAAAAACAAAACAAAACAAAACAAAAATAAAATAAAATCTAATAAATTTCTATTTACCTTAAAAATTCTGAATGAATTGCTGGAAAATTACATGATGGACATAAACATAAATCTTCTCGAAGAATATGAGCTCCCTAAATTCAAACAAAGAAATTTAATTATAATAAAATTTTGAAATTTCTTTAAAAAGAAAAAAGAAAAACATTTCATACAGTAACAATACAATAAGGTAATGCAAGTTGACAACTTGGACATAATAATTCATATGTAGGTACACGTTGATGACAATGTGGACATTGAGAAAAATCTTCTTCACTTTCACTTTTATCTGGTTTTCTAAATTAAAAAAAAAGGCTTTTTTATTTTAAACTTTCGATACATTATAAGATCCGAGATCTTCTATTCAATCCCTAAATAAAGTCATATTTTTTGTAAGTTACGTTAACAATTCTTAGTTTGAATTCATTTTTGCTCAATAAATCATTCGTAAACGAGTTTATTTCACTTATCTCACACGCGTCAGTCAATCTACCCCAGTATATTGGTACAATACCAAATAGTATTCTTTTTCCTAAAGAATAAGATCTGTCCACTGACAACGTTTAATTTTTTCAATAGTTAAATAACTGAAAGAAAAAAAGGAAAGTTAAATTTTTTATTTTTATCAAACTTATTTAAATTCAATTTCTAGTAGAAGATGCAAAAACGACGAGACTTTTTAATTAATACACAACGAGATTTTACCGAATATATTCCTATTTTAGAAAGATCTCTTCATTTATGATCCGTGAGAATACCTACTGCGCCAGTTAGATTCTATAACTATGCGAACAATTTTTTCATATAGAAAATTTAATGAACTTTTTTTCGATTATGCTACAAAAGAGCACTGAAGTGGCTCCATAGTTTGTTTTCAATAGATTGCTCTTCTTCTATTCGCTGTTTTTCAAGAGTTTTCTAACTCAGAATTGATGCATTACTATGATAACGGAAGCAAAATATTATTCATACTGAACGTAGATATTATTATGGACATAAATATTAAAATAATTCAATAAGCTGTAGAAATTATTTTGTAAAAAATTTGTCAGTGCAGCTTTATGAGAGACCAAAGATTGTTATAAATTTATGGTATACTGTTAGGAGAAGTTAAAATAATTTATTTAAAAAAATGCCAATAACTGAATAAATCAAAATTATAAACAATTATTATGATTAATACGCGCACTCTGAGATGTTATCATTTCAAAAATGTTTTGCATTTAGAATTTCTATTCTATCAGTTTATTAGGTCGTTATATTGAAAAAACCTATTTGTATTATCAGATACATCTTCAATAATAGAAATCTTAAATTCATAGAATGTTTTGAAAGATTCTAAAAAGTTTCAGAATAATCTAAGCACTGGCTTTTTTTCCATTACTAGGAAAACATATCCAATGATCATTGACTTTCCTTCTTCTATCCCTGACTGCTAAGACCTTAGGGTGGAACTACAAAAAACAATCGATTTTCAGAGAGAAACTTCTAATGTGTTGAAGATTTGATCTAATTTTCTTACCGAACAAGTGCTTCAATTTTTTTCTTATATTTCGCATCAATTTGGTCACGATATTCAGGTTTCATAAGTATTAGTGAAAAATTAAATGCTGAATTATTCATCCCTGCTTTTTGACATTCAATAACTGTTGTTGTTAAAATCTGAACAATATCTATTCGAAAAAAAAAAAAAAAAATATTAAACCATGTAAATTCAAACATACGAGCTGGAAATTTGCTAACATTATGTGAAACACGATTAAGAAGTCGGGCTGCATGATTCTAAATAATAATACATAAACATATTAAAAATCTTCAAAAAACAAAAAAAACAAAGTGATTTACATGATTATTAAGTTTAATTTGAATTTTAACAAGAATATAACTATGTAATAACATTAAACTATTAGCCATTTCAAATGGTATAGCTGTATGTTGTGCTTTAAGTTCTTGATGCATTGTAAAAAGAACATCACGAGCACTTCGATAATTTCCTGATTCTTGATCTTGTTGAGCAATTATAATAGCTGTTTTTGATGCTTCTATATATTGACCCAAACTTAAATAAAATCGGAAAAGATATTTTGCTTCCTAAATCAAATCAAATTATTTATTGAAAATTCTTTTGAAACAAAAATAAATATTTTTTTTTATTATTATTATTCATTTTTACTTTTGGTATTTGATCTTTTTCTCCAAGTAAAAATTCTAGTAATTTTTGTGTTAATTGTTGACTACGTGCTTTTCCAACACATGTTATAGCTAAATCAATACCTTTACTTTCATTTGAACCAGTACAACGCATTAAATGTGTTAATGCCTAGATGAAAAAAACAAAAACAATTTAATTTTCAATAAAAAATAAATTATACTCGATCATAATTTTGTGCAAACATAAAAAATTTTCCAGCAAGTAAATGATTATTTTGATTTTGAAAAAATATTGCTGCACCTTCAAGATCATCTAATGGAATATCACGACCATCTTTAAGAACTTTTTCTAAAAAAAAAAAAACTTTTCTTGTTTTTTTTTATTTGTTTAATTGTCTATTTACCAATAACTTGAGCATAGAGTTCCATAAGTCCATTTTGTTGTGCCATAGCAAATGCTTCATTATAACATTTTGATAAAACAAGAAATTGTAATGCAGAACTATAATCATTAATTGATTCAAAAAATCTTGCAACCATTTTAGCACCTTCAATACTTTGAGTTTCACGAACAATTTTAACAGCTTGTTCAGGAGATTTTAATTGATTAAGTTGAATTCTGAATAAAAAATAAAAGATAAATTACTAAGATTTATTTAAACCAGTGAATTTATCTATTGATAGAATATAATACATTTTAACTGTCACAAAAAAAGAGCCAAAGTTTAGAATAGTTAACTCTTATCAACACCTGATACATCGTCCTAAATGTTGTTCCTGCTCTCACTCTCAACTAGGTACTTGTCTTCGACTTAGTCTCTTCTGTCTGCTGATAAAATATATGGAAGAATTTTATAGAACAAAAAAACCCGAAAACTACTAGATTGGTCATGATTATCATTCGAACATGAATTTTGTGATTTTAGAGAATTTCTAACTGCTATATTTAGCTTGAATTGATAATCATAGAAAGTTTCGAAAACAAAAGATAAGTTCAATCTTATTTGAATCATACGAAATAAACAAAAAAAAGCTTATTACTATGCAAGAATGTTTGTTGTATAAAAAAGTATATTTTACCTGATAGCATTTTCCCATTCACCTGCTCTCATATAAGCAGCACATGCTTCTTTAAATCTTCCTTCATGTTCTCGTGCTTTAGCATACATTGAATGAATCTTTGGTGTATTAACATTTGGAAGAATTTCACTAACTTTAACCCTTAAATAAAAATATAAAATCAATATTTCCATATTAAGATTAAAAAAAAAATTTGAGAGAATTTCAAATATATGTTAGGATCCAAGTTTTCGTATCCATGCCTAACTAGAACAGAAATTATTTACTCACACCCTACTAGTATCCGGGAGTTGTATTACTCTAAAACATCCTTGATGGTTTAACAGAACGACCAATCAGCTATGTGATCAAGGATATTACTATTAAAAATACATAGTTTCAAATTTTTTTATGAATTTTACTGTTAAAAATAAAATTTGTCTTCACAAATCGTTAGTTTTTACATTTGTACCCGATCTGAGGGTTGCAGTATTCCATTTCACAAAGTATCAAAATAGTTATACTACTGAATATTTCGTCAATTTTAAGAATGAAGACAATTTGCCACAGATAATTTACGAGATCTTATAATGGATAGAAGTAAGTAAACTTTATCCCCATCGGTCGACACGTGAATATAAAAGGAGATGTGTCATAAAAAAATACTCCAGGCGTCGTTTATTCGACTATGTATCATTTTAAGGCACCATCTCCCTCAAAAAAAAAAATCTTCGATCATTCTCTTTTCGAAATATTAAATGAGATTGAGTTAAAGCGTGTTAGGTTTTATTGTCAACTATCCTCATTATATCCACAAAGTTTCAGTTGAATTCCTTGCCATATGTCGGAGAACGTATTTCAAAAAGTGAATGATCAAAGATTACTTCTTTGAAGAGGAGAGAATCCTTACAACTAGGTTCGTATTAATATAATACGAACTGTAACTTATTCAATAAAAACGATATATTGTGAAATGAAAAAGTTCTAATTTAAACTATAACATATATATATACCAATTTTTCATTTTAATATAAGCTATAGCAGCATTGTCCCAACATTCAGCTTTTTCAAATAATTCTGCAGCTTCAGGCCATTGTTTCAATCCTTCAAGTAATTTTGCACATTCTTCTTTTATTTCTTTTCCAGGTAAACGTAATGCAATTGTAGAACCTCTTTAAATAACATAAAAAATAAATAAATTATGTTTTATAATTTTCTTTTTTTTTTTACTTTTTAATGTCTCCAACTTTAATATAACATCGAGCAAGACCAGTAAAACATCTTTGATCATGATGTAAATCCTTTTCTTTTTTAGTTATACCTTGTTCATAAAATTTAACTGCTGCACTTGAATCTCCTCTATAATAAACAAAAAGAAAAAGCGAAATTTTTCTTATGATTTTTGAAATTTTTTTTTTTTTTCGTACGTAAATTCAAGTTGTTCAGCATGTGCTGCTGATATATAAGGTATTTGTTCAGAATCATAAGCTTTTGCAAGTGTCATTGCTGCTTCAAATTGCATACAATCTCGTCGCATCTAAATGTGATTATTTTTATTAAGAAAACAAATTCTTTGAAAACATTTTTTTTTTTTACATTTAATGCTTCCAATGGACAACCACATTTAAGAAAAAGTTCTTGTGCAAGATCATAATCACCAAAAAGAGCAGCAAAATGTGCAGAAACAAGACTTTTATCTTCTACATGCTATAAAAAAAGAAAGTTTAATTTTATAAGATTAAAAAAAAAAAAAACGAAATATTTTACTTTTATTTCTTCAAGTGCCATGACCATACCCGGATGTCCAATTTCTCGAAAAACTTTTATTGCTAAAATATATCAATTGAGAATATCAAACAATTAAAATAAATTTCTATGATTTTTTGTTTTTGATTACCATAATCAATATTTAATGAATAAAGTAAAGCAGTTGCAAATTTATTCCATTCTTGACTATCATTAAGTTGTTTAGCCCAAAACATTGCATCGTCATATCTTTCAAACAAAAATAAAAATGAATTATTCATTTGTTTTTTTTTCGTCAAATAAATACCGTTTCATAAGAATAGCTTTCGATAATCGATCTATAGCATCATCAAGTGTATATTCTTGTTCACCTGAATCATTTAAAAATCCATATGTTTCTAATTTAGTTTGAACAATTTTTCCACTTGAATCAAGTAAAAGAAGAAGACCAGCATTAAGAAGTAATGGTACTGAACCAAATATTGGTAAACGTGTTGTACCAACAAACATTATTTGAGGACCTTTTAAAGAATCACGATAGACAGAATATGTTGTTATGGAATCAGAATCGAAACTAGTAAATATCCACTAAAATAAATAAACAAAAAGAAAAAAACACAATGAATTAATTTTTGAATCAACAACAGAAAAAACAGCTTATGAGGGAATCACTCTAAGTGATATCTTGCGTTTGAAATAAGACTTCAATCATTACGTAGACCCGTTGAGACTAGAAAAATTCTTCCTCATACGCTGCCCTTATCGGGTTATGATCGGTATTTTACTTTTGACACAGTATTCATAAAAAAAGCTGAACAAGCGAATTTTGGCCTAAATCTTTGTCCTCCCAAATATTTCTCGAAAGGTATTTTGATACCTATAGATTTATTCTTCAACAATTGGGGAATATCTGCACTAACAAAATAAAATGATAAGAAAAAGAATTCGCATCTGTGAAAGAATGTCCTTTTGTACGAAACATAGTTTTGATCATGTCATGAAATTCATCAAATATAATAAATAGCAAGATCAATATAATCTAATGTAATTAATATCCAAGTTATAAAACTTGGTCTACTACAAGCATGTATATCTATCAGGTCTTCTTTCCGAATTTATGACTGTTTTCATAAGGTGGATCACAAAATCCACTTCTTCAATATTTAATCTGTCAAGAAAGTAGTCTGAAACTTTTAGAACATTCTATCGGTCATCGAACGTATTTAAAGAGCAAAATCCAGTAAAATGATTATAATCATTGAAGAAAGCTTCATCACTTGCAATGCTCATTTGAAACATGAAACTATAATATTACCTCATTTTCCACACTAGTTTCCCATAGAATAGATTTTGTTCCTGATGGAAGATTTGGTATTTGAATCATACTTGGATTTTCAAAAAACTAGATAAAAATTTACTAAAAATTTTTTCTATTTGAAAAAGAAAAAAAAAACTTACGACATTATATAAATATCCATCACCTTTTTGATCAATAAATGCTACTGATGTACCAAAATGTTCTGTAAATAATTTTTGTATACTTGTTTTATGTTTATCAAATTTATTAACTATTTGCCATTCTTCAATATGAAAAAAAATTAATGTACCTTTCTAAAATAAATATTATAAATATCTTTATTTTTTTAATTTAATTTAATCTTACATCGGTTCCATAAATAAGAAAATCTTTTGTAAGACAATAACAAACAATTTTTCCATCATTTGTATCAGGTAATGGAAACATAATTGAATGACGTTCTTCACTACGATGTTCAGATTCTTCAATCTAAAATTTTATTTTATTTTTTTTTATAGAAAAATTTTATTTTATTTTTTTTACAAACCATATGTAATTGAATACGTCCACTCATAAAAGCAGCTGCATAATGTGAATTTATTTGTAATTCTGATATGGTACTTAAATAATCATGTTCAGAAACTTTGATGACTTCTATTGAAGAACAAAAAAAATTCATAGATTTCTCTTTTTTTTTGTTGAAAATTTCAATAAACACCTTCAAAACTTTGAATACGATAATATAAAGCATGATTATTAAATCCAACAGCAATATAAAGATCACTCATTGCTAATACACTCGGTTCAATTTCTGTTGTTAAATGAACATTATCAATCTTAATTTTCAAAAAAAAAACGAACATATTTTTCTTTTTTAAATTTATTAAATATGTTTTTTTTTTTACTTTTGTTTTTGTTTGATGATCATAAATCGATACTTCACATAATGATGTCATAAAAGCTATTTTTTGTTGCCAAACACTTGCTAACATTGATAATTTTGTTAAATAAACATAAATAGCACCTGTACTTTTCGATACTGCTAATAATTGACCATCAACACTCCAAGCTAAATTTATCACATGAAAAGAAAAGAGTTGTTAGCATAATCTCTGTAGGATTAAAATGTGAAATACAATATAAGTACACTTGCTAATCATAGAAAGATCCTTTCTATTCTGTAGCAGCAGTAGGGGTGGTCATTTAGTGTTACTTTAAAAAATAATGATAAATGAATCCTTTATCTTTATTTTCTAAAGATAAATGATCCTCTATCTTTAAAAAATAAATGATACCCTTTTTTTTCCAGTCATTTATCTTTATGCTTTATTATAAAGGAAAGTAAAGATAAAGGGTCACCCAAGGGGGAAACAGCTAAAATCAGATTTTTTTGATTTTTTGATTTTTTTTTTGATTTTTTTTGATTTTTTGATTTTTTTGATTTTTTTGATTTTTTTTTGATTTTTTTGATTTAAATCAATTGACTTTAAATCAAAAAAATCAAAAAAGAAATCAGAAAAACCAAAAGAGAAATCAAAAAAATCAGAAAAATCAAAAAAGAAATCAGAAAAATCAGAAAAATCAAAAAAATCAAAAAAAAATCAGAAAAATCAATAAATTCAGAAAAATCAAAAAAATCAAAGAAAATCAGAAAAATCAAAAAAAATCTGATTTCAGCTGTTTTCACTTTTGATTGATGCTTTTGAACAAAAGAAATTAAAAATTTTGTGATTTTTTTGATTTTTCTGATTTTTTTGATTTTTTGATTTTTTTGATTTTTTTTTGATTTTTTTGATTTAAATCAGCTGTTTCCCCCTTGGGGTCACCCCTAAGCAGCAGCCGGATTCCATAAGTTCTGAACTCACGAAATTCGGACATGTCTCAAACTTCAACACTCCTTTTAGATCGTGTTTTATAAGAAAAAAACTAACCAATATCAGATAAATTATCATTTCCTTCGTCAATTGTAATTATCGAATCTATAACATATTGATCTGATAATTCATGAATTTTAATTCCACCATTTCCACAAGTTGCTGCTCTATTTAATGCTGTTGATATTGCTATACTTGATAAATAACCTTTATGATCACGAGTTTTATGTAATTCCTATCGAAATAAATATATTTTTTTAAAATTTTTAATCAAAAGCAAAACTTTTAATTTTTATTTACTTCACCAATTTCTTTATGATATGTTGAAATAACAATAAAATAACCTCCACTAAATCCAATCATAATATATCCATCACCAAACCTTTTTTTTATTTTAATAGAAATTCGTCTATTAAAAAATGAATTTTTATTTATTCTTACCATTGATAATCACTAATATCTCCATATTTATCTTGAAAATTAAGTGTAAATAATTGACTACCTGCAGCTGATGCTGCATTATTATTTGAATCTCCAACAGTCCATAAACCTAAATGTTTTTTTCCAATAACTGCACTTACCTAAAATAAAAACAAAAGAAATTATTTTTCAAAAATATTTTTATAATAATCAAAAAACCGAACTGTGCTTTCTTCATAAGTTCCTCGTTTTTCTCGTTTCATTTCTGAAAATTTTAAATGTTTTGGTGTATCAGTTGTATCACATCGTTGAAGAACAGTTCCACTTGATGACATAACTGATATTCGATTATCATTAGCACCTATCGCTAATAAATTATCTTTACTCCATGCCATTGTTGTTATACGACCTGAATGTTGACCGATTAAAGGCAATTTTCTAAAATTTTAATTAATGAGTTAATTTGTTTTTGTAAATTAAAAAAAAATATTCTCGTACTTTGCTGTCGGTTGATCATAAAGAATAATATTACCACGAGATGTGCCAATAGCAAGAATAGGTGATGATTTTGACCATGATATTACAGTAGTATAGTCTCTATAAATATAACCAAGTATTCAAAATTATATATAAAATATGTATCATTGACTTTGAATATAATTTTTAAACAATGAATAAATAGTTTATTGGTACTTTGAGTTGTGCACATTAAAGTTTATTAAATGAATATTAAAAGTATGAAGATTTAAAACTTCAAAAAAAAACACCAGAATGTCAATAATCTATCATTTTTTTTTTGTATATCTTTCGTCAAATTATTTTCTACATATATTTGCTTAAGGCAATCTCATTTTTCAATCCTGACTTAAAATTTTCAGATATTTCATATTTGACTTTTTTCAACATCACATACGTTTCGAAGTGGAACAGCTAACTTTTCACATTCTTTTATTTTTCCTAAAAAATGACTTTGTGACAAAAAAAGAAAAGGTGGAGAATCTCTTCTGTTTCCCCAGCATAGTGCATCCTATTGAGCTGAACTTTTATCTTCAATGTTTTTGTTTTAAAATATGATGTATTATTGATTTCTGTCAGAGTTTACAAAGAAAAAAACTTAGATATTCCAAACGGTACCTAGGATTTGTAAAAATAAAAAGAAACTGTAGCGCAATCCTTGCAAGAATAAAAGATGAAACATGATCTAAGTGCTCTTGGCATTCACAAGAAGATTATTTTAATCTATCTATTTTGCAACACATTTCTAAACCATCCTTTTGCTTATTCCTTCAGAGCTGTAATCAGGAAATTCTTCATATATATTATGATAAGACATTATTGATGTATGACCTTTGATTGTATATCAACAATGTCTTGCACAGACAGTTTCAGGGTGTCTGTCACGGTCTGTGAGCAAGAGGTGGGAACGGGACTTCACTTTTCTCTCTATATCTTTCAACATTCCTGTCATTAATTATTCATCAACAGGTCATTAGTGAGATTTTAATTAGCGATTTATTAGACATTAATTTGATATTAATTAAATAAAATGTCTGTCACGGTCTGTCAGGTGTCTAAATTTATACCGTATATATTTCAACATTCCTTTTAGATCGTGTTTTACAAAAAATATTCACCTATGTAAGGCGTATAGCAACTGAGAAAAGGAGGTAATATAAGAAAATAATTTTTAGGCCTTGCGACTTCAGTGCTCTCTACAGAGAACCATTTGAGTGTGTAGCGAACTTTGTTCTACTCGTCGAGATCTATTTACTATGAAATTTTCAAATTTCTTTTAATGATTGGTTCTCTAAAAATTTCGGCACGGCTAGGTATTCACTTCATGGTTTACAAATTTTCATCAAAATACTTTATTTCAAAATTTGATCTATTTCTAATAGCATTTTCATTAAAAGAAAGAATGAATACAATGTTATCTATATGTCAATAATACTATTGACTTCCAAAAAATTCCATTTTTTTGATAGAATCACTCTAGATTAAATAACTTTTTCAAGTTTTTTTTGTATATTATTATTATTGCTCATTCTATATATTTCTCCTAATAACTGAAAAAATAAAACAAAGAGCAATAATATACTTTGCTGGTGTATCAATAACATTTGTTTTTTGACTATTTGCACTCCATAAATAAACTAGATTTGATTTTTCTGTAATCACTGCTAATGTATCTCCATCTTTATCCCAACTCATTTGCAGACATGGTCTAGAATCAAAAAGAAAAAGTACAAAACTTTTGTTTGTTTATTTTATCATTTACCCTTTTAAAGGAATCGAAGCAATTTCATCGCCTTGTCGATTACGAATAGTAATAATATTTAATGACCTATAAAAAAAAAAGAGACAAAAATTGAATTTATTTTTTCTAGAAATGAATTTTATCGTTTTACCCAGCAGCAGCTATATGTGTACCATGACCAGTTTGCCATGAAAATTTAGGTCTATCACCAATTTCTTCTAAGCTAATTGCAAATAAGCGCTATATTAAAACAATATATTTAAAATCTTTTTTTATTATTAAAAAATAAAATTCATACTTTAGGTGAAGCTGTCATATTCGTATAAGAAATAGATTTTTATTTTAATACAATAAAATTAAAAGAAAAAAAACTCTCTCAACCATTCATTACTTCCATCATGCATAGTTACTTAGCAACAGTATAACTTCCAATGAAAATGATTGATAGAAAAAACTAAAATAAAATAAAAAGAGAATTTTCTATTTTTATTTAATTATTTATCTTTAATTTTAAAATTAAATTATTTTCTTAATAATAAATAAAAAACATTCATAAATATGTTTATTATCAATGAATCATTGATGTTCCTCCCTTTTCTCTATCGCGTTGCGTTGTCGTAAATTTATCCAAACGTAAGTAGGAAGGCAAGAAGTATTGATGTAAGCATCACCATTTTACATCTTACATCATCATTTTCTTTTTTTTATTTTTATTTTCAGCTTACATCAGAATTTTTAAACAACAAAAAATGTCTCTCGTTCAACGTAGTCTTCTCGATAAAATTGCAGCTGAAGGTGTTGATGTAAGTTCAATGAATAGAATTCTTTTTTTTTGATAATATTTTTGCTTTTAGTTTGCATTATGGTCATCAATTATGAGTGTTGGTGGAGGTTTAGGAGAAATATTTGTTAATCATGATGCACGTATGAATATTGCTGGTGATCATGCTATACCACAATTGATTGAATCACATAAACGATCAAAAGTTTTAACAAATTTATTGTTACTTGTAAGTGGAGTTTCAGGTGCATTAGCTTATCAACAAACAAAAGATAAATATTGGCTTATTGGTTCAGGTTTAATGTTGGGTAAATTAAATTTAAACAAAAAATCAAATTGAGAAAAATATTTTGTTGTTTTTTTGTAGCTGGTATTCCATATTGTGTATTGGTTGAATATCCAGTTGCTGAACAATTGAAATTTTTAACACTTGATGCTAAATCAGAAAAAGCAAAATCATTATTAGCTTCATGGGGAGGTATTCAACTTGGTAAATTAGCATTAGCTGTTGGAGGAGCAACGATTTTCTATTGGTTTGCTCGTCGTTAAATCAAATCAAACAGATAATATCTAACTAACTAAATAACTTTGTTTTTTCCCTTATGACTTAAACTTGCAACCGATAGTTATCCTTGCTTAGTTATTATTAGACTTTTTTTTGCTCGTATTCCTGAACATTTAGAGAATGTGTTTTTTTTTTTTGGATGATTTGATTTTCAGTAAAAAGAAAACAGTTCTTTAATCACTATGATTATGATTTTTAATCTTTCTTTGTTTCTAGATTTTAATTTAAAGAAAAAACAAAATATTATAGAAGATGACAGCTGGCATTATTGATTCACTCAATGATATCAAGTAGGGACCTTTAAGTGGTCCTTTTGCTTTTAGATTCGTCGAAAATTGGATTATTTTTTTTGTTTTTGGTTGACTGATGAATGTGAAGATTAGAAAAAAAAAAGTTCTTTTTTGTTTTCAATATTCAGAAATAATAAATTCAACTTTTGTATTATTCTTTCATTTGAAAAATTCTGATGAGTAGATAAAAAGATTTCTTTATTTCTAATAGATTGAAACTATCGCTTGCGATTTGAATACTGACTTCTTAAAAATGATATCGCTCTAGTCTCGAAAAACTTGAGAGAGGATCGATGAAAGATAATAAAGAAAAATTATTTTTGTGCTTGTTTTCAACCGTATGAGATTTTTAGAATTATAGAAGAGAGACTATAGTGAAATTTTCAGTCCGATACCTTGATGTTTTCATGAGATATATATCAAACAAAAGTCTAAATGAGCAATCCGAAATTTTCTTCGGGCCTTCATTCTATAAATGTTGTTTTTCTTTCGTTAGAAAGAGCGTGTCAGTCTACAGGGCTTTACAAAGCTACTTTTCTTTTTTTAAATTCTTATTTTTTTGTGTGTGTGAAAGGAAAAAAGATAACAAATCTAGAACCACAAAAATATCAATTCTTTAAGAGTTGTTTGCGGTATTAGACTTGTCACGTTTTCCGTCGTGAACAAAACAAAGAACTCTTTCAACCGCTATAGCTTCATATATTCTTTCAAACAAAAGAAAAATAACATTTATAGAATGAAGCCTCATAGAGAATTTTGATTTGCTAAATTAACTTTTCTTCTTATACTTGTTTGATGAATATCTCTTAAAAGCATCATAATATTAAGCTAAAAACTTCAAAATAACCTCTTCGTTACTGCTATTACATATCGTGAAAATCCTATAAGATTTGAATGTTCCTGACTTAAGATCGATTTTAAGATGAGAAGAAAATTTTGTCCTATAGAATGTATTAAAATAATTATTTGTAATTTTCTACTTTGAAGACTGAGTCTTTATTAGATTAAATCTGTTAAATTTCGATATCTTGATAAAGAACATTAGAATGCTATTAATTAATAGTTCAAAGTAAACTTTTGAGATGTTTATAAATTTTCGATCTGTTTATTATTTGTTATTAATCTAATCTTCACATCTATCACGACTGTTTTCTTTTCACATGAATGAATAAATTCGACTACTGAATAATGCAATAATAATTTTTCTTTTTTTTTTTTTTTGTTTTATTATAATAGTTATAATGGTGAAATAAACAATGAAACAAAATTAGAAGAAGTTCTTAAATCAGATTTAAAATCTGATGGATTTGTTCCATATGCAAAATTAATTGCATGGTTAACACAAGAATTAGATGGATTTTATTCAATAGGCGAATTTATTCAAAATATCAATTGTGTGCAGTAGCTGATCAATTGATTTTTTTCATTTAATTAATTAAAAAATTTTCTTTTTGTCTCTTGTTTAGCGGTTAATGATATATCGAATTTTTTACTTGAACTTGGTGGTTTTCTTCGAGATTATGGTTGTCCTTATCAAAATCTTGTTAATAATGAAAATAGATTACATGATCGTATATCACGTTTACAGTTATTAGGTTTATATTTATTTTATTTTAAGAATTTCAGTTTCTTTTTTTAAGTCCTTTTTTTCTATTTTAGAATTTCTTTGTACAGAAATTCATGCAGCTAAAATGAATAAATATCTTAAACGAGATATAATAGTTAATGGAACAGATAATACAATGAATAAAAAAGTATTATAGAAAAATTTTATTTTGTGATTATTAAATAAATTTATATTATTTAATCTAGCAATATGAAAGTGATGAAGCTCGAGATTTAAAAGCATTACTTGTAGCTCTTGGTTTTCCTCGACCACCTGATGGAATAACAGCTGGACAAATATGTTCTAAAGTTTATGGTAAAGTTAGTGAATTATTAAAAACTTTACCTCCAAATTATTTGGGTCAATCATTATTAAAAATAAATATGTCAGAAAATCAATGGAATCAGATACATAAAATAAATAAAATTTTATATGATGATTATAAAACTCGACGAGAATTATTACTTAAACGACTTGATGTTACAATTCAATCATTTAAATGGGCTGATCGATTAAAAGTATAAAAGTTAATAAATTCTTTTGTTTTTTTAAATATAAATTTAGGATAAAACTGATGAAATTTCAAATGCTTTTATGAATAAACGTAAAGCATTAACAGCTGAACCAAATGTACGTATTGAAGATATTATGGCTGCTCGTGAAGGTAAAACATTGAAAATAAAAATTTTTTGTTTTTTTGAAATTTTAGGTTTTCTTTTTCTTTATTGAAGATTTATGTCATATGGAAAAAACATGTGGTACAAAAGAAATAGCATCAACTCGATCGAAACTTCATAAAATTATAATCCCAAAAGTAAGATAAAAATCTATCCAAAAAATGTTTTAATATAAGAAAATATTTTTCAAAAACAAAAATGGCATTCAATAAATTTTTTAAGAATATTTGAATAATATCAGTTCGCTTTGTTTGATTATTTGTTAATACATTCTTTATTCTTTTGTTTTCTAAGCGGAGGGAGATAAGAATGTTTAATAATGTGTATATATATATATAGGTACCTGATCGTGGCGGACGAACAACAGAATTACAAGCACCACCTCCTGAAATGCCATCATATCAACGAGGAGGTTCTGCTGGTGGTGCACGTCGTGGTGGAGGCGGTCAACAACATCAATATCATGAACAACGAAGTAATTTAACTAATAACATGTATCCTAGAATAAATTGCACTAAATTTTGGTATCTTTTTTCTTCCTAAGCATAAAAATAGTTTTCTTTATACAGTAAAAGATAGAGAATTTCAAACTGTCGATTTTATTTATCAAACAAGTTTAATCTTATTAATAACAAATTTAAAAGATTTACATCTATTCACGAGAAAAACAACTCTCAAGTGACATCTGCCGCTTGAGTCCTTATTGGACCTACAGGTAGGTCTCAGTGACAATGGCAGAAGCCTAAAAAAAGGTTCGTTCCTATTGACCTGCAGTGTAGAATTAGAACTGGCTTGTTGGACTTTTTGACCTATTGTTAGGTATTACTCAGAAGACCGAATAAAGGAGTTTCGATCCAAAATTTTGCCTATAGATAAGTCTAATGACTCTTCGAATATCCTGAAAGTTTTAGTCGAAAAGAGTGATCCTTCTTCGAGTTATTGAACTTTCAAGTAAACTCAGTTTTTGTGACAAAGATCTATTTCTCGAAATTCAAACATTCTTTTCGATTGAAACTTTCAGGATATTCGAAGAGTCATTAAACTTATCTATAGGCAAAATTTTAGATCGAAAGTCCACTAAACCGATCATAACTCGATGATAATGACCCATAGGAACGAACTATTTTAGACTTCTGCTATTCTTCCTGAGATCTGCCTATAGATCCAATATGATGTCAAACGGTAAGGTGTCGGTTGAAGTAGTTTTCTCGTCAATCATTCAACTGCGATTGCCTATCATCTGCTGACGTTTATTGATTTTTGTCAAGCTGATACTCAAAAGTAAATTATTTAATGCCAATAGATAGAGAATTTTGTGCAGCATGCATGTCTCTACTACCTTTTCAAGGTTCTCAAGACTAGTATTTAAACTGAACCATGAAAATATTTAGATTATTTTGAATTTGAAAATAACGATGGGTTAGGTCTACCCGAAAAATGACTATTTCTGATGTTGTTGCTTTTTTTTTTTACTTCAGAACCGTTGCTTCCAAATATTTCTTCTAAAATTCTGAGACATGCATCTAGAGATGCAGAGTTTTAAGAGAAACTTTTTCAGATAGTTAAAATTTCACCGGTACATTTATTAAAAACATAGTCATCAGTTTTTTCTTTTGTTTTCCTGACTGATTCAGTTAGACAATGAAGTAGGTGTTCTTCTTCCACTTAGAAGAGACAGCTGTTTGAGAAACAAAGTCGACAATTTTGTAGAGCTTGAAATAATCTATCCTTAGGCGTGAGAGAGAAATTTTATGATTAAGGAACGAGAGAAAAATGTACCGAGATTTAGTGCAATTTCTTCTACGATATCCGTTAGAATTACACAGAATAATATTATAAAATTTTTTTTTTTTTTTATTTCTTTAAGGCCATCGAGGAGGAGGTGGTGGCGGTGGAGGTTGGTCAGGACGTGGTGGTGGTGGTGGTGGTGATAGACCGTATTCTGGTGGTTATCAACAACAAATGTATGGAGCAATGGATCCTTATATGCAACAGTATCCACAGATGGCTTATCAGGGACAACAACAAATTGTAAATGAATATGCCGGTTTGGATTATGGTGGAAATTATGGTGGACGCGGCCGTGGAGGACGAGGTGGACGTGGTGGTCGACGGCCATATTAAAACCTTCTACTATTCCGGTTTTTTATTCTATCTTTTTTTTTTTCAGTCAACTTCTTCGACTTTTGTTACTTATCTACTAGACATTTTAAAGAAGAATCTTCATACTTTCGTGTTGTTTCTTCATTTGTTGCAATGGAATTTTCTTTTTGTTATTATTATTTGTTGGTTTGTTTTGTAGATGGTTAAATTAGAGCCCATAAAACCGGTTGTTCGTTCTCGTTCATCATCATCTGATAGTGATTTTGATGATATACATTCAACAACATCATCCGATTCTGATTTGTCTCTTATTGAAACATCCGCAATAAATTCATCAAAATCTTGTCAGAAACGTAGAATTTCTACGTCTAATCATATTATTCCTCAAGGTACATTAATACATGATGTAAATAATAATCTTTGGATGATACATCAATGTGTTAAAGTATCACATCATAATGAAAAATTTATTTATTTATGTAGTCAAGTTAAAAAAACATTAAATGTAAATGAATTAAAAATATCCGAACAAAATGAACAACAAAATATAGTTAAAACAAAAATATCACCATTATTGTATTTAACTGATAAATTAAAACAATCAAGACAAACTGTAATTGATAAAGCACGTGTTGAGAATGATAAACTTGATTATATTTTTTATGGAGCTGTTATTAGAGATACAAATAAAGAAATTGAATTAATTATACCGAATAATGAGAAGTAAGATACAAGTTTGTTGTTGTTTTTTTTTGTTACTGACAAAAGTAGAATATTATTTTATTAACCTTTTGGCCCATTCTTGAACTACATTTGTAGAACGATTGTAGAAAACATGAAATTAAAATCCATAAATGTTGGATTTTTTTTGCTCATATTCTACGTAATAGTAGAGCGAATCATTTTCTACAAAATGACGTATCTCTAAAATGGTTTTTTCGTTGAACTGTATTAGATTTGCGGAAGACCTCGATAGAATTTTTGTCAAATCATTCTTCCCTCAATGCTTATTAGAGTGTACCTGATCGATATATTGAAGACATCAATATTCTGTTCCTATAGTTATTTCATCAGTGGCTCTTCTGAAATCGTTATAAGGAAAAAAGAGTTGAATTACTTTCGGATATCTTTAGAAATTGTAAATTTTTCATTGATTGCCTAGTATTTTGTCAAGATTTCAATATAGAATTGATAAAGTACTTCTTTATTTGACTTACATGAATTTAGTTTAGTCGATTGAGCCGAAATAATCATCTATTTGAATCTTTGATGATGACTTGCAAAATCTTACAAAAATATTTATTGAACTATTTAGTTTTGTTTTTTCTAGTAGTTCATACAATTGAATAGACTATACTATGCAAAAAAAACATTCGAATCTCAATCAAAATTTTCCCTTTGTGTTTCATCCGGATAAATCAATATTCGAGATTTTTCATGTTAAATAGTCAAACGCGAAAACAAAACTGAATAGTCTATGGTAGCTTTTTGAAGTTCTTTATATTTCAATTAAACCTTTGTATTTATCGTTTTCCATTCTAAAAATGTATTTTTATCCAGTTCTATATGATTTTTTTGTTATTCAATGAAGATCTCAAGCAGTTAGATAATACAATTGAAGTTGATCTCGGTTGTAGTCATTTTCAGATAGAAATATCCCATTAATAAAGAATTTTAGAGTAGACTATGATAGATATGCGCACAGTGGAATAAATTATTAAAAAAAGAACTGAAGAAATATAAGTATTCTAAAAGAAATCAACGATGTTCAGAAATACCCGAACTTAGCAAAACCTTAGACACTGCTTTCATAATTATTTATCTACTTTAAGAAATTCTTAAGCGATTACTTGAATATACAATATTGTCAAAACTAGTTGGATATAGTACCCAAATTTGAACTTCATAACCTACGCTGAGTTTGAATCTAAACATTCAATCGAAGTCCGAATATAAGCAGTATTTATCTAATCCATCCTTTCATATTGTTTAGACAAGTGATATCACCAAATAAAAATTGTTTAAATAGCAAATTTTTATCTTTATCAACAAATGATCAAAATTCAAATAAAATAATTCATGGTATTGTTGAATTTCTTAAAGATGATGATACATATGATGAAAATAAAATAAATAAATATTCAATTGAAATTATATTTGTACAAGATAAAAAAAAATCTAATATAATAACAAATCCATCTGAATTATTACAACAAATTCTTAAAAAAGAAATTGAAAAATTAAAAGATCTTCGAAGAAAAAATTTAATAATAAATAATAAAACAAATGAAGATTTTCATAAATTTATTATAACAAAAAAATCTGGACATACTCAATATGATATTCAAGAAAGTAATAATGATGAAGGAGAAAATCTTTCTTCTTGTTCATCTATTGAATCTTCAACAATAAAATATTTACTTAAACTTGAATTAAATACTTCATCATCATCATCATCATCAACAACAACACATTATACAATTGATAATGAAATATCATTTTATTCTCGTTTTGCTACACATGAAAAATTAAAATCTTATATAAAACGACATAATTTAATGTATATTGCTATTCCTGAATATATATCACATGGTATATATAAACATATGAATTTAACATATAAATTTTTAATAATGGAACAATATCGTGAAAATCTTCGTTCACTTATTTATTCTTATGATCAATCATTACCTGAACATAATGCATTAAATCTTTTTTTACAAATGTTATATGTTATACAATTTATACATGAAAAAAATTATGTTCATCAAATAATTAAACCGAAATATATGATGTTTGCTAATAAACAACCATATTTTATTTTTTTAACACAATTTCGAACTGTTAAAAGTATACATGATACAAATAATCGATCAAGTAAAAAATTTTATTGTATATCTAACAAAAAATAAGATAGAAAAATCTTTCGAAGAGGATTTATCTTAGTTCACATTGTCATATTCTAACGAGGAATTTTTTTCAGTTAATAAATCATTTTGAATTTTGAATTCAATGCATAAGATAGATCTCAATGAGATATGAAACATCTCAAAAGGATAAAATGTCCTTGAATCTTTGTTTCAGAGTTATAGACATTTTATTGAAATTTTAGACTATGGGATAGTATGTACCAACAAATTGAATGACAATATTTCGACCTAAAATTTCAGTAAAATGACTATAACTTTGAAAGGAAGACCTAAGGACACTTATCGTTTAATTGAGATTTCAATTTGGTAGTATCGAAATACTTAGTATATGAATTATGTTTCGTTTACATTGAGAATAAAAATATTACAAATAATGTCTGATCTAAGCTCTACATGAGAAAATTCAATTATTTAAAACAAATCAAAGTCAAGGAGGAACAAACTGATTTCTATTATTGGAAATCAATTTTTATCTGTTCACCGCGAATCAATAGGAATTGTCAAAATTACTTAGAAACGAAGAAAAATCATTAGGAATCAAGAACAATCACTAGAAATATTAGCAATTATTGAAAGTCAAGAAAATCAATAAAAGTCATTAGAAATCAGGGTTGTACTTTTAATCTTATTAATGTGGATTTTCTATGACTTAGAGTGATTCCCATTGATTTATAGTATAGAAATCAGTAGATTCCTTCTTGATTAAATTTGATTTTTTTATCACAGGAAGATGCAATGAACTCTCCTCTTATAGAATATATATATATATATATATCAGTTTTTAACAGATATATCGAAGGAGTTTACACAGAAATTTTTGAGTTTTTGAAAGACGACTGTCTTTTCCATTAACATCAACATTGAATAAAAACCTTTTTTATATTAACCACTTCAGAGTCTATTAACATTCAAGATATGGATCACATGTTTCGGCATTGAATAAATACTTTACATATATTGCGCAGAAATTTCAAGATTTTTGAAAAACACGACTAATTTTTATTGGTTTCATAATAGAATTAATCATCAAAATCTGAATAATATGAAGAGAAGTGAATAAAAAGAATATAAACTCAAGACAAAAAATTTTTGAATTATTTTTTTTTATTTATTGAAATAACATTGTAAACAAGCATATCGAAGAGAAGCACTGCTAGAACAATAATACGTACGTCACCCGAAAGAGAGGAGAACAAAAACCTATTCAAGGCTACAGATGGTGCTAGCTTACCTAAATACATTGTGAATAAACCATTTCAATATACTTTTCGTTGGATTCGAATAAAAAAATCCATTTGTGAACTAACTTACCGTTTTTCTTCAAAACAAGGATTCCAATATTAAAAAAAAGCTTATTTCAACATCATGTCTACTAAAATACTCATAAAAAAATGAATCGAAGCGAATTTTAAAATCTTTTTCAAATAAAAATTATGCACATATGTTAGCTTTCATTTGCTATCATACCGAGCTCTACATACATTCTAATTCTTGAGTCTGAAAAATTCTCCTAGAAGTCATAAATAAGTTATGATTTAGTTGAAAGCTTGATGTAGTAAAACGTATCAAACTGGAATTTTGTATCAAAAGGATCATGTATCTCTGGAAATTTCTGTCTAAATGGGTCATACTAAGTGGCAAACACATTGTCAAGGAGAAAGACTTAAAGATTTAAAAATGATTTCACTCAACTTTCATTGATAACTATAAAGAATATTATTCTGCTTAAGTAAAAAAACTTACCAAAAAAGAATTCTAATTAATTATTTTCGATCAATAAATATAACTGAATATTTAAATCATTATTAACATATATATTTATGTTTTATTTTTCGTTAATCTCAGATGAAGTTCCAAATGAAAATCATCCAATAATAACTAATGAAAATCAACATATAAAACAACAAAATTATCAAGTTAAAAAAAAAGTCAAACGTTCACATCGTACACAATTAGCTGCTATACATAATAAAACATCATCAATTGTTCCATCACCATTACTTGTTATTGATGTTCCAAGTCCAATAATTGAAGAAGATAATTTATTAATAAATTCTAATACATATCATCATCCATTTAGTGTTTATTCTTCACTTGATATGCATTTTAATGATAAACAAACATATCGTGGTGATTTAGAAATGCTTGGTTATAATTTAATTGTTTGGTCTGGTGGACGTTTACCATGGGATAAAAAAAATCAAAGTATTCATTTTAAATTACAACGTGATACAATAATTAATGAAAAAAAATTAGCAAAATCAAATGTTAATGAATTTGTTAAAAAATGTTTTTTTATGAAATTAATTTCACCTGTTACATTACGTGCGATTTGTGATTATATGTCAACTATTTATCAATTAAATATTGATGATATACCTAATTTTGATCAATTACGTGTACCTATTAAAGAAATTGTTAAAGCATTAGGTTTTAAGGTTAGTTTTGTTTTGTTTTTTTTCAAATGAATATCATAATGTTTTCATTTCTAGGCAAATGCATGTCTTCGTTTATCAAATTCCAAATCTAAAACAACTAATACATCGAATAGTACAAATAAGAATGTTTCAAATTCTTCTAATCACACACAAGCAGTTAAAACTAATGGAAATATTAGTAAACATATCAATATTAATGATATGACATCACCAGTAAAAGAACTTGAAGTTGAACAAGATGATCTCGAAGATGATGAAGATGACGATGAGGATGAGGATGATGATGATGATGACGATGATAATGAAGACGATGGAGATGAAGACGATGAAGAAGAGGTTTATTTTATTTTACAAACAAATTAATTCATAGAAATAAAAAAAAATAATCAATTATTTTAGGGTCATCCTTGTCCACCAGGAGCAAATTCATGTGATGACGATGATGATGATGATGATGATGATGGTTCAAGTGATGAAAACAATGATGATGATACTCAAATGGAACAACAAGCTCCATCAATTCTTAGTCAATCAACAAAAACTAAATGTAAACGATGTGGTGGTGATCATTCACTTGAAGATCAACAATCTCAAACAAGTAGTGATAAACAAAGTAATAGTAGTACTGGTCCGAATACAAATAATAATACTAATACCCTTACTTATCAACAAAAACGACAACGATCAATTGCTAAACGACTTCAATTACGTCGTAAAAAGAAAAATTAATTTACAAAAAAAAAAACAAACAAGAAACTAAAACAACGATATGTACATATTTTGAAAAAAGCCATATGGAACACATTTAATTTTATCGTTCGTTTACAAAAAGTAAAGATAAGTTTTTTTTTTTTTATGTACATGTGTGGAATAGGATCCAAGCAACGATAACATTTTGTCTTAATTTATTTCTTTCTTAACTGTGTGTGTGCGTGTGCGTGTGAACAGTCCATCACTATTTACTTTCTGAGTTATTCTTTTGTTATGCGCGATGATTTATTTTATTTCCTTGTTTTTTTTTTTTTCTTTTTTTTGGTCGGTCCGATATTTTATTTGTGATAGACCTGTCCTATTGTTTGTCGTTTTTTTTTTATCTATCTCTTCTTTTATTCTAGTTGATGCATGCATTAAAAAAATTATTTAAGTAAAAAAGAAGAAAAACGAAGAAATCAAAACATACACCTACTGTTGTTTTTAAATTATAGATAGAAAATAAACAACTAAAAAGAATTTTCTATTTATTTTTTATTTTTATTGAATCAATGATATTTGACTAATGACTTTTTCATCAAAAATTAGTAGATTGTACGTTATCGACCATGTTGATAATCATAGGAAATCCTCTTAGGTCTTTGTATGCTAATTTTTCAGACTAACAGACTTTTCGTCCAAGAAAAATTTTAATCTATTCAGATTATAGAGCATAATGAATTGCCTAGAAAACAATAAATTTTTCTGTTTGAAATCGTTTTTTTTTTTGTAGAAAAATACAGCCGTTTTAATGCACATAACAGATATATATGTATCAAAGGTTCACTGTAGCAATCTTCAAGATGATATTATTTTACTTAAAATGCATATTTGGAAAAGCAAAAAGATTATTGAGTTAGGTACATCTTGACACGTTCTATACTCTGAATAGATCACAAACAATTTTTGCAAAATATTTGTTAGCCTAGAAAACCAGCATATCAAGTTTTAAGGGAATTTCTGATAGTTTATTAATAAGAATAATCTTTTACTAAAATAATGGAAGGAAACAAAAGAATTGAATAGCATTGAGAGATTTATAAAATCCAATACACAGTGATTCGACAACACATTTTGTACGTCCATGGGTAAAAGTCTGCTTCCCTCTCGTTCTTTTCTTATCAAACTCCAGAGTTGATCGGAAGATGGGGCTTTAATTTCCTATCAATACGAGCGTGGACAAACACAGAACTAATTTCCGTTTAAGTATCTTTGCAATAGGTGACTTAACCTTGTTGTTTCTTAACGTTTTATATACCATTTTGTAGCCCGTGAAATTCTCTATCGAATGGTATATGATAGCTGGGGTTTTGTCTGATTATGAGAGGAAAAGTTCTTTTACGACAACCGAGATAGGTCAATAATCCCATAGAAAAACATAGGGAATAATGACTTTTCTTGTGATAACTCAGCAATGGCTCGACAAATCCTTCTCATCTTTGAACTTGAACGAAATATTGATGAGACGATACTGTGTACAAAATTTCATCAAGATCGGACTCTCCTTTCAAAAGTTATTGTGTAAACGGCGGGACACACTGACCGATTCTAGAGTGTGCTCACTTTTTGAGTACACAAAAACCTATGATTGATACTTAAAATATAGAGTTATTTGGACGAAATTGTAAATCTTTTTGAGATCAATTTTTCTTCGACATGTTTTATAAATTTTAACGTTCTTAGATAATTACTCGTTATACATGTTCGTATTATGACCATAACAAAACATCGATGTTATTACCATTGATCACATATACAGATTGTGTTCAAATTTTGAATAAGAATCTGTATTAATATGATTATCTATCAAGTAGACAATAGACAATATGAAATGGAATAAATATTTAAGACAAGAATTGTTTATCTCAATTATTTTAAGAAAAAGTATCATGTGACAAAAAAATCCAACAGAAATAGAATTACAAATTTTTTATCTTATCCAGTAAAACTACCGGTTAAAAAACTTATTGCCATTTCAAATCTATAGAATCAGCACGTATTTAAAACAATACTCGATCATAAGAATGCGATATTATTCATAATAAAAGAAATCAACGATGAACTCTAATGAAAAGCTTGAATAAAAACATACTATCCCATCAACAATTTGATATTAGAAATTATAGTATGTAAAGAAGAGATTCACAAAATTTTACTGTTTTGTTCAGTACTTCCATGCTAAATTCAAAACAAGAATTACATTGATGATACTTGTATGCCTTTGAAGAATATAACATATCGGTGGTTTTACATTAAGAACAATTCTATGGAATTAAAATCTAATCTACATAATTAGATGCCACAAAAATGAATGATTCAATCTTCTTTTAAACATTTAGATATATTATAATACAATTTAGAAAAAAACTTCTTTGTACAATTAAATCTAACGTATGATGCAGAGGAAACCTTCACAAAAAGTGTTTGTTCATTTTCTAACTAAAATATCGTATCCCATTACTTTTTTTTTTATATCTGAAGGTCAAGACATGAAATCTATTTCATCTAGAAAGATGGATTGAAAGAAAAAATTGATTTTTAATAATAGATTATTTTAGATTGAAAGTAATTCTCAGAAAAAAATACCTTTGTTTTAGACACTAAACAGGTCCTAATAAGTAGTTGGAAAATGAACAAATATTTTGTGGTAAGACTTTCACACCATAGATCACATTATAGTGACGCAGAATAATATAAATATCAAATGATAATAGGTAATAAATAAGACAACTGAGAAAAAGTCTTAACACATTAATGAATTTAGATACGAGTTCTATATATTATAAATAAAACAAGGCATCACTCAATAAAAGTTTAATTATAAGAATGCGACACAATAATTCTACAACCTTTATCAATAATTCAAACAATGATACGCGTTATTTTAAAGCTTGATGTTAATTAATAACGCTTCTCTTGAGGTTAATTTTAAATGATATATGAAATCTCGTCATAACTTATATCTTGCTATGAATCAACATGAGTATCTTTGTTTTATTGTGAGACATAGTTTTTTTTGTTAACAATACTATGTAACATCTATTCAAAGAAAAGATTTGATATAGTATCTGAATTTTTTTAATAAGAATAGGATAAAGATATATCGTTTTAAATTTTTCTTATGTCAGAATATGTATTGATTTCATTTATTCGATAGGTATATATTGTACTTACATAAGAATCACTCATTTATGTTAATCAAAATGATTGATCTCAAAATTCAAAATTTGTTGAAATATTGAAAATGGAGAAATTAGAAAATCTTTAGAAACAAGTGAATGTATCGATTTTCTTAAGAATATCATAAATTTATTGATTTCATATCATTTCAAATGTAATCATTCTTACTAATATAAAGCGTGACTGACTAATGAGAATAAATGTATCTTATATAGACAATATCCATTATTTTATTTTTCATTCTTTTGAAATTAAAATACGTTGCCTGTATAATAATGTAAATTTCTGTTGGTGAACAAAAACGTCAAAGTATCACATTTCTTGCGTCTTCTATTTCAATGTAAAGAAGTCAAATGTTTTGTCAATGTCTCAAATGTCTAAATCTTATAAGATGTTTTGTAATGACATACATATATTTTAATTTCAATGGACAAAAACATCAGATTACTAGTTTTACTGATCTTTTCTATTATTATTCCTATATGTGTTACGGATTTGACTGGCGTACATTATTTATATACAATCAAATGTTCATCACCATTGTTATATATGCCACATGGACCTTATTTATTTAGTCATCATTGGCCATTTACATCGATTACTATTCATTATCAAAAACAACAAACTCGAGGTGTATGTTATCGAGATGGTACTCTTCATTTTATTCTCAGTAATAATCAATTATGTTCTGGACTGTATTATGGTGGACAAGCGAAACTCTTCTGTCAATTTAAAAATAATGAATATTGTATGATTAATATGCAAACAAGCGATGGTAGTCCATTAACATGTGTTGGATCGAAAATAAAATCAATGACAATTGTATCTATTTTATGTTTTCTTCTTATCAATTTCATTTATAAAAATCGATTATTATTTGATTAAAAGATAAAGAAATGAAAATTATTTCATTGAATTATGTGTATATTTTCTTTTTTGAAAATTTTTAATTCGAAGTTGTTTCATAATAAATAATTATTTATAAATAATTTGCTGTCTTTTTAAATAACTTTGAATTTATATTACAGTTTAATAATAAAAACTATGGCAATACTTGCTAAATTTTCAATATAATACCGCTAACCTTCTTATCATTTTTTTCATTTTCTTATGCTGCAAAACATACTTTTTTTTAACCTTGGCATTTCATTGTACCCTTGTCATATTTACATAATTGATTATGATCGTACTTAACTTACCTTTTCTTCATGATTATAGATTGTCCCTGAAAGGCTTCTTTTTTGTTGTACTTATATAAAAAAATGTCGTTGACCTCTCGATATAGAAAAGCTAAATATGTACACAGTTATTACCAAAGGTTATCAGTATTACTCTATTTTTTATGATATCATTGCTTCTTTTGTACATTTCTTCGTTTACTTTGTTAATCCTTATTGTAGGTCGGTTTTGAACGTGCATTCATATTCATCTATAAACTTCATAACATTCCTCATTGTTGGAGTTTGGTAATCCATACATATATAGACATACATATAGAAGACATAGTCATGACTTCATATATTGAAAAGGATGATACAAAAAGGAGAAAGAAAAAGGAAGAAGACCTTCGATTAAGAAGGCGAAGTTCAACAAAAAAAAAATGTTAATCACATATAAATATTCGATGTCAAATTCAAATGATCGTTTGATTTCGAAATTTCTCAATAGAATTATCTTCATCGTTAACAACAATACTAAAAGATTTTATAATGTTATTCATTGTGATTGTGATATTTGCTAGCATTGGTGTTAATTCACTACCACCTATCAATTTTACAGATACTGTATTGACAAATCGAATGATTGAAGCATTAAGCGAAGCGCTTGTAGCTCATGATGAACCAAGATTAACACCATTTTATCAACTCCGACAACAATTAAAACAACAACAACAACTCTATCGACCTCACTTTCCAGAACAACAACAACAACAGTTCTATCAACCTCCGTTTTCAGAACAACAACAACAATTTTATCAACCTCAGCTTCCAGAGCAACAGCAACAATTATATCAACCTCAACTTCCCACACAACAACCACAACAATTTTATCAACCTCAGTTTCCAGAGCAACAACAATTCTATCAACCTCAATTTCAAGAGCAACAGCAACAATTTTATCAACCCCAGTTTCCAGAGCAACAGCAACAATTATATCAACCTCAACTTCCCACACAACAACCACAACAACAACAATTTTATCAACCTCAGCTTCCCGAACAACAACAACAACAACAACAATTTTATCAACCGCAACTTCCAGAACAACAACAACAACAACAACAACAATTTTATCAACCGCAGCTTCCAGAACAACAACAACAACAACAACAACAACAACAACAACAGCAACAACAACAACAATATTATCAAACTCAGCTTCCAGCACAGCAGCAAACGTTTTATCAACCTCAGTTTCTAGGACAACAACAACAGTTTTTAGAACATCAACAACAACCACCACCACAACAACATCATCATTTTAAGCAACCGATCCAACACCACCAGCTGGCTGAATCACAAGGACAACAACACCCAATCCAACAGAACCAATCGCCTGAACCACAACCACCACCGCAACAGCAACCAAACCAACAGAATCAACTGCCTGAACCACAACAGCAACAACAATCAACCCAACAAAACCGTCTACCTGAAACACAACAACAACAACAACAACAACAACAAAATCCTGGTTATACAGATAATCGAGGTCAGATTAAAGTAATTTCAAATGAAAAATTTTCATTCTTTTGTTTAGGTTACTATTACCCATATCCATATCAAAATGTCAACTGGTTCAATTTTCCTTATGTATGGTCTTCTGCAGCCAGTGGTCAATTTGATCCAACAGTACCACTTGCTGGTGTTGGTGCTCAATCGACTGGTAGCAGTACTAATAATGAATGTCCAGTAGGTTTTTGTCCACGTGGTGGTACTTGTTCACAACTTTCAGGTCAATGGCAATGTGCATGTGGTGCAAATGGTTGTGCTGGAAGTAAGTTACTTATTTGTTTTTTATTATTCAATTTTAAATTATTGAAGTTAAAATTATAATCTTAATTATTTTATTGAGATTATAATTTGTTGTTTTTCTTTTTTTTACTATTAACAATAATAACTGATAACGATACTTTTGAATGTTGATCAAGATCAGTTATATCTTTAAAATAGTATTTAAAAACTAATTTCTCAATAAGCTACTAAAGAAAGAACTTCTGTAGGTAGAGAAGAAAATAATATTAAATCGAATAGATAAAAATAAATTTAGAAATGAAATAAAATCTTTTCCTATTTTTTTTTATTGTTTCAAGTTTTTAAAGATTTTCATTGTGTGACATTTCGTGAAAATATCGATATTAAAAAATAATTTGTATTATATAATATATAACTTTTAAATATTGTTGAAAATTTCATATTTTTATTCATCAGAATCAAACATAATCTTTTTATGTATTCATTCAAATTGATATAAAAAGATTCTGAATTAACCTATTACTTCTCATAGTGGTTCCTGAAGACACACGAATAAAATAACTGTATAAATAAAGTATTAGCCTACCTAATATGTTAATCATGTAGTCTGATCCGCTTAGTATCATAACATACTAATCCTTCAATTTTTCTTTCTTTGATCACATTATTAAGTGAACAAAAGCAACATCAATTCAATGTTATTGTAGTAATAGAAAAAAAATGTGATAGTGAATTAATAAAAATTAATATGAAAAGAATACTTTTTTTTTTTTTTGATACATCTTGTCAAATAAACATCTACTTTGCTTTGAGCTATTCTATAATCTCTAAGAATATTTAATTCATAATAAATACAATTTCAACTTCTCATTAATTTGAGGTTTATAATATATAGATTAACTTTGTTCTTGATTGCTCTTCACCTGTCCAACAATAACTTCATGGTCAATTGTATGACTTTTATTATGAAGCTTTCGAAATATATTTAACTCACTAGTGATCTTATTCATTAATTTATATCATAGAGAAATTTCGAAAGATCTCGATTGAATGTAAGTAGAGAACATTTTGTTTCGAAAAATTCGAATTTTTTCATTTTTTCAAAATTATCGATTTTGTAGACCCAATATTTCGAAGATAGAGCAATAAAAAAAAGACATATTCTTTTTACCGATTAATAGCTCATGAAGTTCACTACAAAAAATGTTCTTTATTTAAAATATAGATAATTTGTTTATCATTATTAGAAATCTATTAAAATAGATCGATATAAATGATGAAGAAAGTTTTTTTGTTTTTGAATATAATTAAAAATGAATGGTATCTATGTCAATACGGAGTGAACAATGATTTTTTATTATAATCTAATAATTATTCTAATTTATGAATGAATACGAAAGATTATATAATTCTTTTCATAATTTTAGTCCCAAATCCATGTGGTATCTACGGTCGATACTATTTTCCTTATTATCCTGATGCATCACGATTTATTCAATGTGATCAAACTGGTGTTTTCTGGATTCGTAGATGTGCTCCTGGAACTATTTTCGATCCTAAAATAAGTGTTTGCAATTATCCACCTGTTGTTGTCGAAGCTGGCAAAAAATAATAACAGAAGAAAAATCTTGCATTAAGAACATTTCCTTGTTTTTGTTTGTTTTCTTCTAATTTTTTTTTTTCCTTTGAAAATTTGTTCATGAAATAAAACGTAGAGTCATAGGTTCTCATAAAAATAGATTATCCTTTGTTTTTTTTTTATTTTGTTTTACTCGAATTGCTCAATGAATGAAGTAAAAAATAAAGAAGAATATTTTACTCAATTATTGTGACTAACCAATATATATTTACATCTATAAACAATGGATGTATGCAAAAAAATTTTTAAATTGAATTTCAATAAAAAAACAATTCATATTTTTTTTTCGGTATTTGCTTTAGAATTCTTCTCGATTGTTTACTGTTATTTTTTTTTGCTAATAATATGTCCTCTTTTTTAATTTTATTCTTGCAAAAAGAAAACTTATAGTATCATAATGAAATGCATCCGTAGCTTTATTTCATTTCTTCAGTCTTTTTTTTTTGTTATATAAAACAGGTCTGGTGATGTTAATATTGTTTGAATAGAAATGTATGACGATTGATCAAGTTCTTCTTCATCATCATTTATAACTGATATTCGTCAAGCATAGAAATATTACAAAGAATTAGATAGTCATACAATTGATTTTCGAAAACAAAAAACAATCTATATCAATACGTACAACAACATTTGTATAAGAACTATCAACAATAGTCGATCCTATTAAAGAACTTAACAAAAACAATCAAATTGACAATTTCGACTAGATTTTGTATGTTAGAAATTTATTAACACTTTTTGTTTTGTAATTTTTTCATCATCAAAACAAAATCCGATCTGAATAAGTAGATTTTGATTTCAAATGAGCTTATTAAACTTAATTTCAAAGAAAAAACATAATCAATTCTTTTTTTGAAAAAAAAAATCAAAAACATTTTATGCGCGTCATTCATCCGTCTAATTTTTGATCGAAAAAAAAAAAAGCAATCAGTTTTCATCTTTCTTTTCAAGTCGATAGAAACGAAAATATGCCCTATGTAACACTTCTTACAAAATACATACGACTAATCACATTTAGTGCAGAATTTCTGGATTCGAATAATCTTACGATGGCTTATCCCATTAAATGTTAAATAAAAATATATTTTTCTTTTCCCATGAAGAATTGGATAGAATTAATGGAACCGTATAAAAAAAAAAAATTTTTCTTTCAAAATAAATATTTCGAAAGAAAATTTCATTACAACCTTTTTCAGATACCATCACCAGATCCAATAATATTTGTTGTACATGCAAAATCTGTAAAATCATTAAAGAAGAAAAAGAAAAACCAGAAATCTTCAAACAACACTTATTTAACTGTATTCCCCAATTAAGTGCACCTACTGTTGAATCAAGTTCATTGATATTAGGTAATTCAATAATCATATAAATATTTTATCTATATTTTTTCTTTTTTTTTCACAAAGGAATACGATCAGGTAAGATATTGGTATATTCACCTTAATAACAGCAAAAACAACCAATGCCAACGATTATTGGAAATTCAAAAAAATCACAACCAAATCCAATGATATCACAATATGAACCTCCTACAGTATCCTATAATGAATCCTCCAAAAAAAAGAACAAGATTCCATCATCACAAGTTCCTGATATACAATCAGTTAATCAAACATTTCCAAATAATTGTATATCATTTTAAATACGAATATATTAAATTAAATCATTTAATTTTGTTTTTTCTTAAAGATTATATAAGTCCATCATCAGTAGTATCAGCAAATCCATTAATAACAAATTCTTATGCATTACTACAAGAACAACAACAACAGCAAGCACAAAAATATATTGATCTATCAAAAACAAATAATAAAAATCCAAAACATCAATCCACAGCTAATACAAATTATAATAATCGACCATATGCATTTTCAAATCAAAATAATGATCATCCTGGTAAGTTTATTAACTTTTAAATTGAATTCATTTCAATATTCAAACAAATATGATATGATTTGTATGGAAAGAAGCCAAAAATCGATCTAACAATGCTGGAAATGAAGCATTTCAAAGTGAAATAGATGATGATGATGATGATGATGAAAAACAACCGAAAGGCAAATCGGTATTGATATTAATCTATTTCTAATTTAAAGAGAAAATTTTATTTTTAAGGGTCAATGGCTTTCTCAACCATTATGTTTAGGATTAACACGTTTAAGTGGTGGACTTTTATTTGGATCTATGATATTACTTGCTCTTGGATCTATAGCTGGTCTTATTGCATCGCTTGCTTTATATACTCGAGGTTAAAAAGAATGTCTTTTCTTTTTTTTTAATATTTATTAATCAAAATCTTAAGATTTGTTTTAGATAGTGAAACGAATAGTCAATGGAAAATTTTAGGCATGGTTATTTGTTCTATAATGTTAACAACAATAATTGCGACAGTACTTATATTTATTTGTTGTTATAAACATGGTTATATGCTTAATTCAGATGATGATATTGAGCCAATCGATTCACCACCAGTATCAGGCATTAGACAAAGAAATGCTTCGCAAACTTATAAATTTAATCCTACAAATGATGCATCATCAATTCGATCTGGTATACTTCAAGATGTATCAACACCAAATTCAATACCTAAATTATCTTTTAAAGTTCATGATAAACAAACAAATACAGAAACAACAATATCTCTATTACCTCCAAAAGATTTTAATCGTGGTGTATGGCCAGCAATAAATGCTTATGGTGGTATGTCACATCGTCCCGTGGTTCAACCAAAAATGATTTCTCAAAATGTTCAAGTATTAGAACATGAAATTGAAGAAATACTTGAAACTCCAAAAGTTATTTATCAAGCTGTTGCTCCAGCAGCAGCAGCAACAGCAACAGCAGCAATTTCACCTCCACCAGTTCAACAACGAATAATTCATATGCCCGATGACCAAACATCTGTTATTGATGTTGTCGAAACAACAAAAAAACAACACCGAACAAATACTATTCGAGAAGCACAAAAACAAAATATTGTTGTACAACCAAAACCTCGTAATGAACAGGCTCATGTTGAAGAACAACGAACACATCGTATTGAAGATCTTGACAGTAGTGATGAACAGTCACATCATATTGAAAATCTTGATAGTAACGATGAACAACCACATCGTATTGAACATGTTGATAATAGTGAAGAAGATGTTGATACTAAGAGAAAACGATCACATCGTATTGTTCAAAAACCTCAAAATGAAGTTAGTGATGAAATTATTCAACGAGTAAGATCATCATCAATAGAAGAAATTGTCGATGTACCAAAACATGGAAGAAAACATGGACGAAAAAAAGATAAAAAGCAAAATTTTACAAAAGTTTCTGTTAAACATATAAAACCAAACGCTTAAAAATTATGTATTACTGTTGATAATTAAATTACAAAAATCATTTTTATACTTAAAAACCTTTGTAGTTATTTCAAATAAATTTTCTATATATATTTTTTTTTCTTTATTTTAATAAGACACTTGAATGAGAAATATACGAATCAGACTCGAAAACAAAATCAATATATTATTAAATTCAAATAGCAAAGGTCACAAAATACGTACTTAGAAAAAAATAGAGTGACCTCTTTTTTTTTCTTTCTCGATCAATTGCGAACTTTCTTTTTTTATACTTGCATTGCATCATATAACATTAGTCAAGTCTGATGCAATATGCACCGTAATAGAGCGACATTTAATTCACATGTTCTACATTGGCCTACTAGATTTCTTTTTCTTTTCTCTAAACTTTACTATAATACAATAGTAAAGTGCCATCATCAATGAACTATCTCCAATATACTCGAATGTTAGGAAAAATTCTAGATTATTCTGGAACCATGATTAATCGAGAGTATATAAATTCCTCTTATTTTGATTGTTTTTTCATTCATTTCTAGCTGGTCTTCAAACAAACAAACATTTAGTGATGGCTTCAACTCGTATTATCTCCCGTGTTCTTGTACCAACTACTCTTTGTCGCCTATCAACAATAGGCAACATAGGTACACCAATACGTCATTTTTTTTATCGAAATCCAGGCAATTTACCTGATGTATTTCGTGGTACAGCGTCAAGTGTTTTTCGAGATTTAGAACGAGAATTTGACCGTATGCAACGACAATTTGATAATTATTTTCGGGGTAATACTGCCGATGATAGTCGATCATTAACCAATTATTCACGTGGTGGTATGAATGACAAAATATTTCTCCTGTTTTTTTTTTTACGATTAAATAATCATATTTTGTTTTTAGAAAATGATATGATTGTTACTGAATCAGATGGTTCAAGAAAATTTCAACTTGCATTTAATATGCATGGTTTTGAACCTGAAGAAGTAAAAATTAAAACACAAAAAGGATCATTAATTGTTTCAGCTAAGAAAGAAAAAAAAGTATAAATTAAACTAATTAATTATATAAATTAATTTTTTTAAAACTTTTATATATTCTTTTATTTTAGGATGGTAATAGTTATTCACTTCATGAATTTAATCAAACTTATACATTACCTGAAGAACTTAAACTTGAAGATTTAAAATCAACATTTGCAGAGAATGGTATTCTTACAATCGAAGCACCATTACCTAAAATTGAACCGAAAGATCGACAGATTCAAATTGAACATTCAAAATAAACTATATAATTGTTTTTTTTTTTTTTTTCTATTTGTCCATATATTTATTCTATACCAACTAATTGTTTTGAATAAAATCAAAAGTTAAATTCTAAATATCAATCTCTTTTTTTTTTTTTTACAAAGCGGAATATAATACGTTTTCTTTTTGTTCAATCCAATTTAAATATTTGAAGTTTATTAGGTTTTTGACATTTAACAACAATATAATCATTTGCTAATCGACCAGCATTCAATGGTGAACTATCTTTATTTTGTCTTTTTTCTATTTTATTATCTTCATTAATAAATAATAATTGATTTTGTTGACTATCAATAATAAGCCATTGATTGTTTGCTAATGATGTTAACATAATTGCTGTATTATTCACATCAAGATGATGTACAATACGTGTTGCTAAATTAAAATCAAATACTTCTAAACGTATTTTATCACCTTTAATAAGTAAACCAACATGTGAACCATCTGTACGTATTGATAAAATATTTTGATCTGTTTCTTCAACAATTTTTGATTTTGTCCAACGATTAACTAATTGTAATGTTGGTTTCCATGTCCATTTTGTAATTGCTGATGCATCTGCATATGCAATAAATATATGTTCATCATGAGCTGTTATTGATATAAATTCCAAATCATGTTCACCAGATTTATCTTTTTTACTAAATTCTTCAATTAATTTCATTTCAAATTTATCAATATTTAATTCATAAATATAACTACGAGTTAAAATAAGATAAGAATTTTGACAAGATAAATATGTAAGATCATCAATTGTTAATATACCTGATGGATCATATTCTTTCCATTCAAGTTCTTTAATTTGTTTAAGTTTATTATTAAATAGAATAAATTTTGTTGTATCATAAATAAGAATATTTTCATCAGATGTTGATAATGCTAATTGATCAGTTTCAAGTTCATGTTCATCTACAGCAGTACGAGATAATTCAGGTGCATTATTTAATTTACGTATATCATTTTGAGTATTTTTCTTAGATTCATCAATAGTTACCTGTTTTGGTTTATTTAAAGTTTCAACACTAACAGTTTCTTCATTAGCTTTTTTTTCTGAAGTTTCACGATTTGATGACGATGCCATTTTATTAATCTTTTTTTTTTTGATAAATTTGATTTGTAAGTGAAATTTTCTTTTTCAAGAAATAAGTTCAACAAGTGCGCTGTGCATAGAAATATATACTATTTATTTTCTCTTGCTTTCTTCGAAGGAGAACAGAAAAAAAGCAAACAATATCGATGACTCATAATTTGTTGTTGTTGTAATTCTTTTTTATTATTCCTTGAAATGATGTTAGTTATACTCAATAACCACAGCATGAATCTACTTTACTGAATTTTCATCGGAATGAAATTGAAATCATTTGTAATAATAGTCATATTCTCAATCGTCTAAATCACAATACATTTGTATATATATATATTTTTTTTTTTTTGTTTTTAATTAATAAAATATATGAGTAATCGTTCAATAACAAAATATTTAAGGATAATCAATATTAAAAAAACAATGTCTATTTCATCATTTTGATTGTTGCTGTTATTCTTGTGTTTTTTAATGGAAAAGAAAATCAACAACAATAGATGATAATAATTTTCTCTCTTTTCTTTTTTTTTTTTTTTTATAGAAATTCATATATACAGAAAGAAAAAAAAAATATTTTGTTTTTTGGTTGTTGTCTTTATTATTCAAGTATATCTTCTGTTGATGATGATGGTAATGGTGTTGAATTGCTATTACTTGAACTACTATTTTCATCAGTAAGATTTGGTGGTGGTGATGATGATGATGATGGTTTATCTTCTTCTTCTTCTTCAGCTTCATCTTCATCTTGTTCATTATCATTATTATCTTGTTCCATTTCATCATCTAATTGAGTATTTGTTGTTGAGCCAGCTTGACTTTCTATTGTTATTGAATCATTATCATTTATAATATGTGGAAAAGCAAAACCATTTGTTATTTGAGAATTTGTAGATGTTTCCGATGATTCCATTATTGTTGAAGATGTTAAACCATTTCGAGTTGGTTCAATATAAATTTTACTAAAACAAAAATATATTCGATTATTTTCATTTTCACGTATATTTTATAGTTATCATTTTCGAACTACTTTCTATATCAATGTAATTACTAATAAATCCAAAATATATTAAAGGTAATTAGCAAAATTTTAGAAGCATTAGAACAAAAAATCAAAATCCTGAAAAAAACATGATTCATTACGATTTTTTATATGATCTCAAATAATGCTTCAGTAGATCGTAATAAAATAAGCTTATCAACGCATGAACAATCGATAATGATTAAAAGTATATTGCTAACTTTAGAAATGCAGTACTCACTCTATGTGATGAACTGATGTTTAGTTTATTAAAACAATTTTAGCAAAAATTCAAATTTCTTTGTTATTATCTTCTATTGAGTTTTCGCCTTGATATTCATGTGAAAGATTGTGTTTGAGATTTAAACAATGCTTGTTTTCTGAATAATTTATCCACATCACAATCAGCTGAAAAGATAGATATACTCTCTCTTCAGATTGTTTATTTATCTATTTAATATCAATTATTAGTAGTTGATCTCCTTTGGGACTGTGAGATAATCAGTAAAATGTGTTTTTTTCAGACATCTTGATTTTAAATTTTGTGATAAAGAAAAATAAAAATAAATTAACAACGATTACTGAATGATAAGATTACTTTTATTGGTTAGTCGAACTTCAATTCTTTTGATTAAAATAGTTAAAAATTCTGCTATCGATCTTCGTTCGGTGATAAAATTTAAATAATCCTATGTCAGATAAAAATATGATGGCAACTGCATTCATCATGATAAAAATAAATAAACCATAAGACTATGGGTCAATCCTCTTATATTAATTACAGAGTTCTGTTGAATATTCAATAATGTTTATTTTTAATTTGTTTTTTGCTGCTGTAAGTATTAGAAAGAATTCAAATAGTAACTCGAGTAGAGAAAATTGATTCCAATAGGAATCTAAAACAAAGATAAAAATTATTATAAGATTTTCAAAGGTAAGAATTTCATTTTTCAGCACTTAGAACATGTAAATATGATTTTATATAGATTACATAAAACGATAGAACAAATGATTTTCTACAAAATGAGGCATCTCCGAATTTTCTGCAATGCTTTTTAACTGAAATACAACAATTTTATGAAAGTCCTTAAGATCCTTTTTTTTTTACACTCAATCAAATTACTATGTCTCAGTCAAAAAAATTCTTATGCGTAAAACTATGGTTTTGGTTTTCTAGAACCTTTATCTTTGAAAATCTGATAATAATTTTTATTTTCTTGTATTCTTCTTGAAAATATTTTTCTCTAATTAAATTACTACTTAGAATTTTTCTAGCGCTTATCAATAATACAAAAAGAAAATTGAAAATAAATTTCGTTGAATAATTTTCGTATCTGCTGTATATATATATATATGTTGATTTAACTAGTCGTGTTCTAGTATGCAAAATTTTGAAAAACTAATTATTATTTTCTTGTAATGTTGATTACATTGTCTATGTTTAATTCTAATATAAAATCTTTTCTAAATTTCCTTTTAAACTTACTTTCCTTCATTGTCAATTGTTGTTACTACCGAAACACATTTAGTTAAACCACGTATAAATTTATCTGTTCGTCGATAATTTGCTCGTGGTGAAAGTATTAATTCACATAAACGTTGAATAGTAAACGGAGTACTAGAAAAAAAAAAAAGAAAAATAAATACAAAAAAAATCTTCAAAAACTTCTATTTACTTTTCAAATGAGTTAATTCTTTCAATAATATCCCATTTTAAATCTTCGAATGTTGATCGATCAACATTTGGATGAATTTCTAATTTATCCATATTAGATTCTGTATTAAATTCATTAAGAACAATATTTAATTTTTGAAGAAATAATGGTTTTATTTTTTCCCACGGATAACTAGAAAAAATAAACGAATAATTTAGTAAAAACAAGAAAAAAAAATTTACCATGAATAACCGGTTTTAGCAATTTGAACAAGAATTTGTTCTAATTCAGGTGTTAAAACACGTTCATTTTCTTGTTTATCAAGAAACTCTAAATGAAAAAACAAGAAAACACAGAAGAACAAAAGAAAAATATTCTTTGGGAAAAAAAAAACAAAAATAAAAAATGAAAAACTTACTATCGAGACTATCAATAACTAAATTAGGTGATAAACTTGAAGTAACAACATCTTGTTCGTGATCTTCTTCAGCTGTCTCCATCATCTGAACAAGTGGAAAAAGGAAAAAGAAAAAGAAAGAAAGATTAAATTATCTAAATATAAATCTATCTTTCATCGTATTCGTTCATTATTCTCCAATAATAAATAAGAACAGCTGATTCATATTTATTTGGATTTTATTATATACATTATGGTTGAATTATTAGGTACACATTGTGAATATCCAGAGTGTAATACACTCGATTTTCTACCTGTTTATTGTATTCATTGTTCAAAAACATTTTGTAAACGACATGGATCTGCACCTGATCATTCATGTATATCTTTAATTCAAACAAACTCATTAATATCATCAAATTCTTCATCATTTCTTCCATGTGCTTATTTAAATGGTAATTGTAAAAATCAAAAATCACCAATTAGTTTTACATGTTCATTATGTTTAAAAAATTTTTGTGTTGAACATCGTCATGTTGATGATCATAAATGTTCTTATCGTTCTTCATCATCACCACCAACACATTATTCAACACAAATAAATAAAAATGAAATAATAAAACCAACAGATAATTTTTCAAAAGAAAAATTTATTGGAACAAAAAATGAAGCTTTAGCTAATAAAGTAGCAATTATGAAACTAAAACAAACAGCAAAAGGACCAGGAGGTATACCAATGGAAAATCGTCTACATGTTTTTGTACAAATTGATGATGGTGATGGAAATAATAAACGTTATCCATTTTATCTTTCAAAACTTTGGCCATTAGGAAAAGGACTTGATTATTTAACAAAAGAATTAAAATTATTACCAGCAAATCGTATAATTTTATTAGATAGAGAACAAATTTCACTTGATTTATCAACAACTATTAATGATTTGAAAGAATTGCATGATGCTGATGTTATTATTTTAAAAAAAATTTAAATAAAAACAATTCTTTATTATTATTATTATTTTTTTTTTTGTTATATATTTTTAAATAAATCAATTTGAAGACTTATTTTAACGGATGACTGAAAAGTTTTTAAACAGGATGTCTGTTTATTTTTGAACTGCTAGAAAGAATTTCCTACGAATCAAAAGCTATGATATTGTACTCTTTTCGAATATCGGCTTAGAAATATTATGTCTATTTTCGTTCAAGAGTAGTGACGGACTTTTTGAAAGATCTGAAAAATTATTCTTAATGGGGAGTCGACAGGTTTTTTTGCTTACCCTATAAGTTTCTTGTCAAACATGCTAAAAATTGTTGGAGTTGATCGTTTTGTAGAGTGGACACCAATGTTTTATCTAGTGTGAGGACCGAGAGGGTAGTACTCCTCAAAAAGATCGTGCGTTGATCTTTCTGGAGTTTACGCTTATTGTACCATGTGTTATGTATCTGTGCTTCCAAAAATAGATGTTCGCCCTTTCGGAAGAGAAAATCTGGATAAAACACTGGCGGATATTTCTCTACAATATGTGATTTGGAAATAAGCTGTAGCTTTTACCCAACTGAGGCTACAAGCATTTTTTTAAGCGCTTCTTTCAATGTACAACAGTTTTAGGTCAAAAAGTAGGTTTTTCAAAAATGAATATTCAGGAAAAACGAAAAATTGAGATGTCTTGTCAAAAGACAAAAAAAAGAAGCTTCAAATAGTGGATTTTGTAGGGTAACTTCTGATCTGCAAACTAATGTATAAATAAAGATTTCAACCTTTAGTTTCGAATTGCAATCGTGAAAATACAAAAATATGCGGAAAAACTTGTATATATTTCAAAAGAGCACAAACTCATAGCCTTTAACTGCTCGTAAATACTTTCCAGTGAATAAAAAATGAACAAACATCTTATCGAAAAACTTCCCAATCACTTGTTATTTAGTTCTTTGGATTAATATAAATAAATACTATCTTGCGACCATTTATTTGTTTTTTTGCGAAAAAGAACTTTAAAATTAATCTTTAATTTACAGTTCATCTGTAATTTCTATTCTTTAATGAATACGATTTCAATCATGGTGATCAGATTAAATATTGGCTTTTCTTTTCTTTTATTACCTCATAAAAAAACTACAATCATGTTTATCAACTTAATATTTCCTCTATTTTAAATTATTTTACTCATGTTAACATTTCGATATCGCTTTAATATGTTTTTCATTATTATTATTTTAGAAATTGATTTAGTGTATTCACATCACAGTTACATGTTTTACTTTCATCTTGCTTAGTTTTTTTTTTTTGAATAATTGAATCAAGTTAAAGTTATAGAATCGATTTTAATATAACGTAATTTTCATTGGAACATGTTTTCTTGTCGGAATTTAAAAGCAGCTTAGTCAATCAGACATTTTTATCACAAGTATAACAAAATATAGTAGTAACCTCTCAATACAATATATCGAACTAGGTAAACGAGTAAAATTATTCTTAAAAATCGACGTGATGATTAATTGAAAAAAAAAAGGATAATATCTGATTTAAATGTATTCAATCGAATTGATTAAAATAATAGTTAACTAAAAAGCAGCAGTATTAACATGTACTAGTTTCGCAATTTCAATTATATTTTAAATTTCATTAATATATTTTCTAAGAAATGAATTAACAATAGAAAAACTAATAAATGAATTTACGATCATAGACAATCTATGATTGCAAACTACTTACAAAAGTACTAATATATTAATTCTAGATACTCTGCTATACATATGATTCGTTATTACGTGTACATCGAATATATTATGCCGAATAAGAAACAATGGTAATGACCAAATTAGCCAGACTATCATCAGAAACGATGATCTGTACGTAAAATTGGAATCAATACCATCAAACACATAAATATTTGTTGAGTTTTTGTATAGTTGTTCAACTCTCGTCTAATAAAACATTTTCCACATATGTAGAAAAAGAAATACTCCTGTAAACTTAACTTATTAGGATATTGAAGAAGTAAAATATGTTGAACGATACAATCAATTAAGAATACCAGATGAGCTGTTAAATATTTCTTCGGTTTTCTATCGTTCTAATTTTTCTTCTCCTCATGTCGGAGAGGTCAGGTGAACTGTATCTATCCTGCCGTGACGTAGAGGAGGAAAATACTGATATATAGGTTGGAACTACTACATTATCGACTAAAGAAAAAAACATACAAACCATTCGACTATTTTTTATGCATTTATTCAATTTATTTTTAACTATATATAATGAAATGTATCCGAGCGAATGTAAAAGTTATAACATACCGTTCCCAACTATTACTATTCTATACGCTAATTAAAGTACTAATTGTACGTTTTTTAATATTGGAAGTATTATTACCTTTGACTATCGATAAAATTTAATTTACGATTACAAAAATAATTATTTACATGGAATCTAGTGAAGAACATAAGAAAGTTTGATTGACTGAAAAACAATAGAAAAAAGTTTGAATGCGGAAATCAATCATAGAAAAATTTGACTGGTTAGAGAACACCATGGAAAACTCTTAATAGTTAAGAAAATAACTCGAATATCATTTTTGCTGCCCTAATGGATAACATTCAAAAATAATAGTTCGAATATTTTCAAGCGCAAAAGTCAATTTTTAGGTTATGAGAGATGTAGTTATTCAGAGTCATGTTAAGCCATTCGAATGACTTGAAATGAATTTTGTTTCTTGAAAGAGAATAACTATCGATCTTATTCTATTGTTTAGTAATATTTCTTCATTTAACTCGATTTTTTATTATTAAATTTGGACATTCAATAATTATGTAGATACGCATAAAATACTACGCGATCTAGGATGGTATAAAACTATCCATCTATAACATTTGATAAGCAGATTTGTCCACCAAATCTCTTTAATCCTAAATACAATAATAGAAACAATAAATACTCAACAATAACTAAATTACATATTATCGTTTCTATTTTGAAAGATATATCCTAGATAATAGACAGAGGACAGGGTTTTTGGAAACTCTGTTATAGTAGTCTTGCAACTCTTAATAATTGCTATTGATACTGAAAATATAACTTCAGTCTAGAAAGAAATAGTAAAGAACGACCGTACACATTATTCGGGCATACCATACATATGGTTTCACAATAACGATATCCTAAACTTTTTATAATAAATTTTTGATTTTCATTTTAAGTCATCTATGAGTTTGTGTTCAAAATTAAATTCTCTATCGAACGGTTCATAAGCTAGCTATCAAACCATAGAAATACACTTTCATGAATGAATAATTCTGTCATCCTTGAAAATGTCAAGAAAAACAATTGAATTGAGTACCAAAATAACTGAAAAGTTTGAACGATCAAGGTGAAATTTATAAGACTGACTAATAACTATGTAGATTCTACAATTGCTGAAAGTTTTACGTCAAACTGTTTGCCTGTCTTTTCTAATTAAACCAAAGCATTCATCGTCCATTCTTAATATTCTTTAGACTTACATAAATGAATGAATAATTACTACAGAACAGATTGACATCATAAAAGATAATATCTAATTTCGATGTGAAAGCTAATGACTAATCTTAGAAGATTCAATCTTAAAATGTGAATTAGCGATGCAATGGTGGCCATGAACCACCGGGCAAACTTAGAATTGATTGAATAGTTCTCAAACAGTAACTTTTCATATGATACCCGATAAAAAGTGATATTGAACAATATCTCTGCCTTATTTTCGCTGGTTTTCTTTAATAAATACATGATTTCTTTATAAGAATTGATAAGTTCAATACTTTCTCATTTGAAATCATTATTTTACATTCTTGAAAACAAGCTAATACATAACGTTTGTTTACCTTGAAAAAGTCAAGTTAAAGTGGCATCCATATGTAAAAGATCTATCAATTCAAATATGGCTATTACTGTTAATTAGAAAACAAAATGAACTACAAGGTTGAATTTTGAAATAGATTTTATGTTCTTAGATTTATTTTTATTAAGACCTAAGAACTCTTTCGAAATTTGCATGAGATCAACATCCGATAAGTTTTAAACGAAATATTTTTCTATTACCTGTGTAACTGAAACATGATCTGAGAGCTATGA